CTGTGGGATCAATAAAGTGTATTCTATTCTATTCTATTCTATTATGGACAGGATTTTTAGGAACAGCCAAGGGGATCTGTTTTGGTGGCCTGAGCATCATGACCCGACCCCTGATGAAAATGGATGGATGGATGGATTGGAACAGTTTCTCTCAAGGTACTTTACAAAGCAAGCATTCCAAATGAACAGTGCACTGAGGTCAGTTAATTATTCCAATAAAAGTCCAGACTGGATTATGCTGAACTACATGTTGACAAGCCTCTGGGCTGCTTTGCTACCTAGCTCAGGGTGTCTTGAATCTGTGCAGGGTACAATGAAATCAAGACTATCAATGGTTTCTAGAGAGAAATCTGCTGGCCAGTGTCAGAAAGCTTGGTCTCAGTTGTAGGTCATGTGTCTTGCATCAGGACAATGATCCAAAACACACAGCTAAACACACCCAAGAGTGGCTAATAGGAAAACATTGGACTATTCTAAAGTGGCCCTCTATGAGCTCTGATCTCAATCCTATTGAGCATCTATGGAAGGAGCTGAAACATGCTGTCTGCAAAAGGCGGCCTTCAAACCTGAGACAACTGGAGAAGTTTCCTCATGAGAGGTGGGCCAAAATACCTGCTTGGAGGTGCAAAAGTCTCATTGACAGTTACAGGAATTGTTTGATTGCAGTGATTGCCTCAAGAGGTTGTGCAACAAAATATTAAGTTAGGGCTACCATCATTTTTGTCCAGGCCATTTCCATGAGTTTTGAAAAAAAAAATTTTTTAAATAATTCAGTTGAAGCATGGTTGAAAAGTAGTGATCTGATTTTCATTGGTTCAGTTTCATATAATTTTTATTTATTTATTTATTTTGTCAGATTCAAGTTGTTTCTGTGACCATTGTGGGTTTTTCTTTCAGTAACCGAAGGGTACCAACAATTTAGTCCATGTCTGTGACTCAGGGTGGTGGACCAGAAAATAACCTTTATAGCCCCGTTCGCTCATATTCTTTATTATTTTTTTGTTCTGGGGACCCATGAGCTGTCAGGAAGGGGAGGAGACTAAGGTTTTCTATTGGCCAGCACCCCAGAGACATTAAATTCAGTGATGCTGGTATGTGGTCAAAAAGTATCAAGTTCTCCCAAACAAGTATTCACAGCATCTCACACACACTGTTTAAACAAAAAATGACTTTATATAGGTTTTATGTATCTTTGAGCCACACCAGTGTTGACAATACCCAGAAAGCTTGCTTGGATGAAGTGTTGAGCAGTTAGAAACAATTACCCACACCTTTGTTATGAAGAGGCTTGCCTGCTGGTTTGTGAAGCTGGGCCTGGCCTTTGCCTCTGTCAGTCCAACTCTGCTGACATGGGGCAACATTTTCCAGGCTGCTTAACAGCCTGACTTTTTACAATGGGAAAGTATTCTCTAGAACAAAAACACTGCCACTGGTCATGATGTGCACATTTCCTAAATGACTCGCCTTTATAGCCTCGACAAGGAAACACAGCTTTAAAACATATGCTTGGCACAAACATAGTAAAATAAACCAAGGAAATACTTTTCTGTAACGCATTCGCTAAGATGCCTGAGTGAGTTCAGCCTTGACTCAAGCAGGATTTTCACATTCATGGGCCAAACAATGGTAATCCATTTTTCACCACACCACATGTGCATTTGAGCTATTGGTACATACTTCCAGACCCCTGGGGTCAAGCAATAACCCGCTCCACTCCTTCATATCACCTCCAGTTCAACCGTAGCCACTTCTGACAACGGCCGCACAGATCAGCGTCGGATCAGGGCTGCAGTCCTCCCCTCCCACATCATATGCAGCTGTTACAAAATAGACACAGTAGACAAGCAACATAATACCTAAAAATGGCCTCATTCAGTCGAAGTCAGTTAAAGTAAAAGCTGATGGCTTTTCCCTCAGAAGTATTAGCTGCCATAGCTCACTGTATGATGTCCCACGAGGCAAAGTGCCTTCAGCTCCTGCTGACAATGGACCAGTTGGCAGAGAGAGAGCAGTTAAATCGTGTGGTTTCAAAGATGTTGACGTGGTCATGGTGCATCAAAAGATGAAACTGATACTGTTCAAGGCCAACTGCTTCAATATAGGAGGTGTGTGTGTGTGTGTGTGTGTGTGTGTGAGAGAGAGAGAGAGAGAGAGAGAGAGAGAGAGAGAGAGAGAGAGAGAGAGAGAGAGAGAGCTGGGAGGGAGTCGTGTGTAAGCATATGTGATGTATACAAAGATTTGAGCTTGCTTAAACTCCTCCTTGTTAAAGTGCTACCACTGAGAAATTCTCTTCCAAGACTGCTGAGCTTGTAAACTGCATGTTTGTGCACACAGCTGTTTTTAGACCAGTACCTGAAAGTGTACTTTTATAAATCTTCTTTTACATGGATGATACCAAGGTTTTTGTACATGCTATAGAGGAAAGGCTATGAAGGAGTCTTGGTTTTAAAACAGCTGCTTTTGGTGCTTTACTGCCACCTGCTGGTTAACCATCCTAACAACCTGAAGGTTCAACAACACAAAACCGGCAGACTAGACTGAAAATAGAAAGTGAAATAGTTAAATTCTAGGATCATAAATTGCTTAATAAAGTTTAGAAAAAAACTTAATAATAAGTGATCGCACATTAGTTTTCAAACTCAAGAACTACAACTAATGCAAGTCATGTTTGTTGGGGTGTTTGGTTGTCTAAAGTTCATTTGGCTTAATTTCTAAAGATACTTGTAGAAAATGCATTCAGTTTTACTTATTAAAGGTTCTAAATGTTAAATTAATGTTTTTAATCAGAAAAGAATGAGCGGTTTCATTTGAGTATTGGGATTTTACTCATGAGTGATGGTAGGATGGAGCAGTATATTGATTATCTGACTTCTACTGCAGAGATGATGGTGTTTCTCTGAATTGCTGTGAAGAAGAAAGAGCGGAGGCAAACTCGTATCTGACCCTCTATGATAATGGGGTTTGGATCACGACTGAAAGACACCAGCTGATGAGGAGCTCCGCCAGCTGGATGGAGATGGTACTCCACCTCTAATGCAGTCCTGTAGCTTAGCCTTATTTATTTATTTTTTGTTTGTTTTTTATTTTGCCAAGACATTTCTGGTTTTAGGCTGCAAATCTGGATTTAAAATGTGTAGAACTGCTTCATGTTTACATGAAGGATTAAGGAGATTTTCCAGGTACAACACACTTGAAATAGATCTCTGGGCAGATCCAATCCTCAATGTAAGGTCCTCTTTAAATTTCAGGCCTGGAAACGCTTTGGCAAGAGGAGCTGGGTAGTGAGATGCCTTTATATTTGAATTAGCCAACATTTTGTAAGCATTTTTACATTTAGGGTATTTACATTTAGATGAAATGACTGTGAAAATTTCAGACAATCAGCCTCAATGCATCCATTTGTCAGTAAATCTGAATCTATCATGCACTAACTAAAATCAGATTCTCCCTCAAGTATCAGGTTCACTACTGTCCATAACACCAGCTTGGTTTTCTTTTGTTGCGCTGGTCTGACAGTGGACGTAATGCCAGTTTTTAAGCACTGAGGGTCAGTGTTTCTCCAGAGTGGAATAAGATATCTTTAGGGTAATTGGGTGAAAGCTTTTGGCCTTTAACTACACTGCTTTTCAAACTCAAAGCGCTCTCAGTATATTTCAATAAATAAATATGTAACATAATAAATGGTCAGGTGGCACATGGGATTGTTTTCTACGTATACATTTGGCTGAAACAAGCTTACAGAACCCTCTCTAAGTGATATGTGATCAGATGAACCGGAGCTTGGAGTTTCAGCGTAGGTGCAGTTGCTGGTTGTTTCTGCCCTTTCAGGCAGGTTGCAGCTGCTGACTCTGCTGGAATGTCTGCGCTCTTACCTCAAAGCAAACTGAGCCTCACGGTAAACATCAATCATTAGTGTCTTTTATGAGAACTCTCATGGTTTGTGTTTTTTAACCGAGTCATTATGGATGCCTAGTTTATGCTCACAACAAACAGGCGAAGGAAGATATTTGTCTAATAGTTAGTAGGAAGCAATTTTCACAGAAATATTTGCTTTTGAGAAAACGTACAGAAACAAACTGTTGTTGGGCTCTGGGACTTTTTCCAAATTCTTAGAAATTTTTGGAACCAAAGCAGTTTATTGGCGAGCAATGAAAGCAGCTCATGGGGGAACACAGTATCTGTTTTCAGTTAATGTCAAAGCTATCTCCCTGGAACGCTAGAGGGAATAACAACTGTTAGTCTTTCCCTGAAGTACCGTTAATAATGAACCAGTTGGGTGACATTAAAATCCTGTTTTCCATAAGTTCTCTAGAGCTTACCTCAGTCTTCGATTTGGCGTTACATTTTGAGGAGTCAACTCCAGAGCACATCTACACGAGCAATAATCATTTAAAAGGGTATTTGCTGTGTTTATATGACTCTAAAGTGGAGCTGAGCTCTTGAAAGTGGTGTTGTGGAAGTTTAGCCAGCACCAGTAAGTGAATCCACATGGAGCCACAATGTGGTGAGCACTAACACCCAGCCGGAGCTGACCCACTGCCCTCTGTTATTAAACCGGCTTTGTGGCGGAACAAAACTCGGCTGTAGGGATCGGAAAGATCCGAGTTACAACTCACATATTTTGAATTGAACAAATTTTTGTAAAATGTCTAGTAAACAAGTTCAATTTGGTGTCAGACCTTGAACGCTGTCAAGTTTTAGATATTTTCTTCAGGGCTAGCCTTGAATCTGACACCTAATTAGAATCTTCTGACATACTTTGAAGGCTAAATGATGCCTGATGTGAAAGCTAAACATCTGTGAGGTGAAGGTTTGCTGACTCCTGGGCACAGACGCTGTCAACGTTAATTAAACATCTTCTGTCCAGCTGTTTGAATCGGATGAGCAGACCCTTTAGGTGGTTGCAATTATTAAAAACTGCCATTAAATTCAGAAAGATGATGTCTAAAATGTTAGGAAAGGGTTACATTATAAGAGAAAAAAATATGAAGTCATTAAATGGCTAAAAAGCATGTTTTATTATTTATATTAGTATAATAAGACATACAGTAACTGTACGATTGGTAGTCGTAGCACCAGAAGTATAAACTCTTCCATTCATCCATCCATTATTTACATAAGATCCTTTATTAAAACATCTTTGGATAAAGCAGAGCAAACAGCCACACTGTCCAAGTATTCAGTACCAATATCCATTCATTATTATAGCACACTGTTTACAATTCAAGTATGAATATTAAAACATACACATATACCATAAGTTACCACACTCAGCGGTTATAAACACAATCTCTGGATTACATCTCTACAAAATTAATGGCACACAGTGCATCACATATGGTACAAATTTCTGATACAGATCTTAATTGGCCAGAATAAAAACGAATGATGGCCAAAGGTTCCTCTGGCTTCTCAATGGTTTTTATCATTTTCAGCCTTTTATTTTTTAAATCAAAACAAGCTGCATTGATTGAGAAGAAAGTCTAATATACATCTATGTACTAACTTTGGTTAGAGCTTAGCATCAGCATGTTAGGGTAGACAAATGTTGTTGTTTATGTTTATGTGCTTAGCAGACACTTTTTCCCAAAGCGACTTACAATTTATTTTTTCAACCTATAGGGCATGTTGTGAGCTGTGGGGGAAACCGGAGTACCCGGAGAAAACCCACGCATGCATGGGGAGAACACGCAACTCCACGCAGAAAGGCGAGTTTTGAACCTGCGACCTTCGTGCTGCGAGGCAACAGTGCTAACCACTGCGCCACCATGTAGTAGATGTCAAACCAAATGTTGTTTATGAGGAAAAGTTCCCTAGATGGACATTTCCTCATGTAGCAGCTGAGCTAATCTAGCTAGCAAACACGCAGCATCACATTTTAGATATGTCGTTGATAGGATGTTGACCTAGTTTGCGTGAACATCAAACATCTGCCTAGTTGTGTCAGTTTACCAAACCTCTGCCACTGTTGGTGTTTCCTTCTTCAGATTAGAGGTAATTCCAGTAGTCAAAAAGCACCATTTAACAGACACTGCTTATAGTTAGTGGCAATTTAACACAAACAGGAGGGGAGTACGTAACTTCACCAAAGCAGACAGTGGTTTCTCTGCTGGAAGCAGCCATTGTACAAAGAGAACACATTTATAAGTCAGTAGAGAATAAATATGGTTTAAAATAAATATATTACATATCTCATCAGAGTATGGGTGTTAGTGAGAGGTAGGGGGTTGTAGGTATAGACAGCAGCTGAGGTGAGGTGAGAGACCTCACATCTGGTACTGCCATGGTGTAACAGACGAGAACTTCACTGTGTGGTAATCATTCACATTAAGGCTTCGACCACACTGCTCCAGATGTTTTTTAAAAACAGATTTTATGTTGAATTCAGTCAATCATTACGCATGCAGACTTTATGGTGAGAAGAACGCGGATGCAAAAAAAAAAGAAGTAAATTTTAAACTGTATGGGTCAAAAGTAACAAAGACCAAAGCAAACTCTTCAGTTTGGAAATGTTATTTCTCCTTTAAGTAATACCAACTGGTGTTCTATTGAATTCTGATGGAAAGTCCAAGTAGATGAGGCTCAACTTGAAAGGATCGAGCATCCATGGAAGGAGCAACATAATTAAACGCGAGGAGAACGATCATCAAGCGAAACATCCTCCTGCTGGTACTCACTTTTGTTTTAAGCTTCAAATGCTGTCAGGTGTGTTCTGGTCACAGGTCACAGATCACAGACTGATCGGTATGCTATGAATCAAACACCACCGTGCTGACTTTCATCAACTCCCTGTTAAAGGTCAACATTAATCATATTTTTGTTATATTTGCAGTGGTCTATAGCGGAAATGAATGCCTTGTAAGAGGTTCTTTGGGGGAAAAAAAGCTCCAGTGCGCCTGTTTGAGGAAGCAGAATTCAGCTGGAGGAAAAAGTAGCTTCCGACAGCAAGATTTGGAGTATTATTTCCTGATATTTAGACATCTCGCCTCTGATTGGCTAACAGCAACGCAACTCTACCACTGACTGTTTGCTTTGCAGCATTGATGTCACAAATAACACAAGCCTGGAATAGTTGTGCTCTGTGGTGAAGTCATTAATGCTAATGGTTGGCTTCTACTAGCCAAGACATTGTTGGTTCCTGAACACTAAAATAACAACAACCTTCCCTGTCGTGAGCCAAGATGGGTGAATCCGTGAATGTTAGGTGACAGTGTGATGTAGATCTGTCAGGCTAGTCTGAACAGAGCATTTCCACGTCTATTTTCTATCAGAAGCTAATAATTGTAGTCATTTTTGAGAACCTTTGCCCAAATTAAGGGTATTCCTCCCTTGTATTTAAATATGAACTTCACACAGGTATTTGATATTTCACTTTTGTTAAAATCATACGGACAGTTTTTTTAAAAACAGAACTTAAAAACATTTACTTTTCAAAATACCTAGAGTTATGTAAACGAGACAAAACCCCCGACTTCACACCGAAGGCATCAGCACCACGGAACGGTTAACTCGAATGCTTAGCTGCGTGCCAATCCACACCGAGAGTCTCAGCCACTGAGCGGCTTCCTCACCAGGCTCGCAAGATCCTTTGTTTATGCCATCCACCAATAAACCAAATAAGAAGAAAAAGGAAACCATTGTTTGATGTCACTGCCAGGATCAAAGCCATGAAAAACACATCATTGTTGGAAGTAAACATACCTGTAGGCCACACATATAGACATAATCTACATAGATATGAAATGGCATTGCTGCAATGGTTTTATTTAGAAAACTACAGGACATTTTACACTGAAACCGTGTTTGATATCCTGTCTAGCCATATATTAACTTCGGAAATTGACATGATCCAGAAGCATCTCGCGGCAATACTATGTAGAACCTAATCTGGTCTATAGCGGCGCAAGATGCACCTGAAAAAATCCACTTTGCGGCCGGTTTGAATCAACCCATAGACCAGGGGTATTTAATTCTGGGCATGGAGGGCTGTTACCCAGCAGGTTTTAGTTTCAACCCTGTTTCAGTAGACCTGATTTGAATCAGCAGATAATTAACAGGCTTCTGCAGAGCCCGATGAGCTGCTGCACAGGGGTTTCAGCCGCTGAATTAAGTGTGTGGGAACAAAATGTGCTGGATACCGGCCCTCCAAGACCACAATTGGACACCCTGGCTATTGACTATAATGGATTCTATTTGAAGCAGCGATGTTCCGCTGCCGTTCCACGCCGCTGATGCCTCCAGTGTGAAGTCGGGGAAAGAATCAGAACTTTGTACATGTTTTCCTCATTGCACGGTTTTTAAGCCAGTGTCATTCTATTAATGTCAGTAGTTGGTTGTTCAGTGTTATAAAATACCTGAAAACATCAGACAAAGTGTAAGAACACATAACACTGGCTATAGAAATAAAATAGTATGGTTGCTTCTCAAAGCTCCAAGTGTTCTCTTTGACCTCTGACACGAGGCAGGTCTGAGAAGATGTCAGTGTTTAGCTGCAGCCAGGTGAAAATGTTAATAATACTTTGAGTTTATAGAAAGCAGACAGGCATTTAAACATTTCACCCTGCAATGCATAATGATGTTTCGGTGTAAAAATACTGTAAAGATTAGCAGTCTCACCCTAAATCCTGCTCTCTAACTGTTGTTGATGGATTTATTCATTTTGGTTACTGAATGGTAATGAAAGAGCCCAGATGAGCTGTGAAAAAAATCCTGCCAAGAAAATAGACCACGCTGAACAAAGCACCTTGCAGTGACCTGTGGTGCTGCAGTGTTGTAGCACTTTAGCTGGACAGGAAGTCACTGTGGGGTTTTAACGTTGATGCTTAACGACCAATTGGACAACCAACAGCAGGACAGGATCCATCTTGTGTTTTCTGGACTATCTGCTTGAAAACTGATGTAGGAGTTTGGTCTCAGCGTGTCTCAGTGGACTGTTAGGAGTAGGCCGTTGTGAGCTTGAGGAATGCACTTCCCACAGAAACCGCCACAGCGACCGTAGATTCTTGTTCCGTCCTACACATTGAGTTCAATGAGAGAGAAAAAAGTGGGTGAGAAGGCGTTTTCTTTCCACAGTGAACACACACTTTACAAATGCCGCAAGGATTCTTGTTTGGTGAATCAGACACTGTTACACAAATCTGCCGAAACTTCTTACCTCTGATCTGTGGACTTTGACAGAAACATAGTTCCCTTGAGAAGTCCATTTAGTAACCTGAGCCACTTTGAGGCCAGTGCCAATCAGATTAATACTGAACTGGCCCTGAAAGCACATATCAAACTGAGTTATTTAATCTGAGAGATTACCGTGCATGCGGAAACACAGATAGGGACACATTTTTAGCTTCCACAAACCTGTGGACACTTAGCTGCACTGTAGCAGTCTCCTGCTGTAGCAAAGGGCACAGGGCGACCATGGAGAGTCTGGGAGAAGTGGAGGTCTGTGACTGATGAACAGCAAAGATACACATTAAGAGACACGCTGAGCAACAGCAGAGGTAAACAGATAGAACGCATCTGTTAGGAGAAGCAACCACACAGATAAATGAAGTCACTTGGCCAGATGTGTTTGCTTCACTTGAAAGACTTTTAGAGGAGGAAGTAAAGCTGGGAGGTAAAGTAAAGAGATCAAACAGATCGGATATCACATAAATCACCTGTTGACCCTAATTTAAGATCTTTTGTCATTTTTATAAATAAACGGTAGCTATTTCACTTTCTACAGACATGAAACCAGAATCAACAACATGGCAAATGGAGGCGAGAAAACCAAATACAGCTCAAAATTCTAACATTAACTTTAAAAAATAGTTATAAATGTATGTGTAACAAACAAATGCACAAGCAAAAAGAAAAAAAAAACACACATGGACCGAACCAAGATCAAAGTGAATATTAAAACTGTTATCGGTGGCTCTTTAAGGTCACTAACACACCTATTGTACCGTCTATTGTAGAATTTCTTTGGACAGTTCTGGGGTCAGTTAAATTATCAACTGTTGATCGGACATTCAGAGTAAAAATTCCTAGAGTTTATAAACAAACTGTGATAAAAGCAATAAAGAATTTCAAAATACCAATTTAGTTAGATGAAGTCTACCTTCTTGTGACCAGTTTAATCTTTGATGTTTCTTTTGTCTACCGGAGCTACAGCTCTACAAGGAGGGATGGCTTAGGTCTTTTTCTGTGCAATTGGGCCTGTTTACCTCTAAATCAGCATCTTCGACTAGTGGTGTACCCCAAGGCTCCATTCTGGTGCTGACATTTTCTAATTGTATTATGCTGCCATTAGGTTCTATTTTTTTTACTTTCCACTGTTTTGCAGTCAGCTTTTATTTGCCTCTTGCCTCTAACTCAACTGGTTCATTAATAGGTTGCTTGATTGATGTTAACCAATGGATGTCCATCAGATTTTTGAAATTAAATGAGTCAAAGACAGATATCTTCATTTTAGGCAATCAGGATGTTCTAAATGGTGGTCAGTCCCTTTGTAAGATCCAATGTAAAACAAACCTTGGACTCTATCTCAACAGTGTTTTAAGATTGAATAGACAGCTGACTGCAGCAGTCCAGTCAGGTTTCTATAATGTATGGCTGCTGGCAAAGGTAAAACAATATAATCTGGCTCAAGTTTTTGAGCATGTCATTCATTTGTTTGTTTCATGTCATCTGGACTACGTCAACTCTCTCTACATTGGATTGGAGCAGTCATCCTTAAACAGAATACTTGTTCAAAATGTAGTGGCACACTTGCTGACTGGCACCAAAAAGCATGACCATATCACCCCAGTACTGGCCTCTGAGCATTGGCTCCCTATAGGCTACAGGACTCATTTTAAGATTTTATTGTTTGTTTTTAAATCTCTTCACATTGCCCCTGACACTCCTGCCAGAAACATGAGGTCAATGTCAAGACTCATTTAAAATATCTTTCAGGAGTATTTCTCTCATCCAATGACACCATCTAGTGCCTGACAAGCATATGAAACAGTCAGTCGATCCGTTTTTTTAAGATGGCGACTTCATGTTTATTGATTATAAATGTACTTCTGTAGCCGACAAGCAGAGCTAAAACATGTTGTTTACAAGTATTATTCTAATGTAATGTTGAGTTTTCATATATTTATATTTTAAAGATTTACTTGTCCGTGAAAAGTTCATCAACTCTGCATCAGCCGAGGTACTTCCTTAAATTTGAAGCACATAAACGGTAGTCTAAAGCCATTAGTTAAGGCTGATTCATGCTTCTCCGTCTGCGTCAGTGCGGAGACACACAACGCCATTATCCGTCCTTGCGGGGCTCTCCAGCAGGCCCGCAAGGATGGACAGAGTCGAGCTCTCTTTTTTAAACATCCGTCCGTCAAGATGGAGAATGCAAGCTTGTGATTGGTCAGGGCACCACTGTCATCTCCACTGCTGCCATTGCGCCCTCAAAAACATAAAGAGAGCTGAGAATAACTAGCGGTAGACAAGGAGAAGCTTGAAGAATACCTTGCGAAAAAACTCAAAATATGAACGTTTAATTCCCCGTGACTGGAGGAGTGAAAAGATGTGCAGCAAGCGTTTTATTTGTGGACGGAAATTACAGGAAACATGAGTTTAGAGGTGGCGAGCCCATGAAGAGGTGGACGAGAATGAGAGACAAATTTGTCTGTGGTAAAAAGTCTCTTAAATACAAAAAACACAACTTAAACACACTATCTTGGACCGGATAATGACATGATACCACAGAACAGCGCTACGCCCTCTGTTGTCCTGGCGGGGAATTGCTTTTCAACACTCTCCAGGAGACGGAGAAGTATGAGAGAAAAATGCTTCCATCAGTCCGTGCGTGTCTGTCCCTTGCGGAGCTGATGGAGAAGCATGAACCAGGCTTTAGTTCTGGTCAGCGCTCAGTTTCCTATTGCATAAAGCTCTGCAGAGCAGGGGGCATGCTTAGCAAAAACTTTAAAAAATGACGTATTGCTTATATTATATCACAGTACATGATGAGACAATCACTTTTATGGATTTCTGAAAAATCATACAAAATTTCTGAAAGGGGAAAACTCTGGAAAGCTACTTTAAAAGCCAAGGGAGATGCCTGGTCCTCTGTTGTGGATAAGCCTTCCATTACAACTATGGACCATGCATTATCTGGAGCATTTCAAGTCCCTAAGACCCACTTATTTGATCTAGCTTTTACTGCAGGTTGATTTGAGTAGTTGAACCATTCTTTTTATTGAGTTTTGTCCTTACTCTTGTCTTTTATTTAGACTTTTATCTACGGTATGCTAGTATTACATGTATGTTTTCAGCAATTCAACTTTTAATTCTCATTTGATTGACTGTTTTGCCATTTTTTGCCTTCATGTTCAGAACTTTGGGGTTGCTTACACAACTGTAAACCTGGTCTTGACCTTGACCTTAGCTTTTCTTCATGTTTCACCAAACTACCGTATTTTCCAGACTATAAGCCGCTACTTTTTTCCCACGCTTTGAACCATGCAGCTTATAATGAGGTGCGGCTTTACTGAAGATTTTCCTTCACCTGCAGGGGACGCTTTAGCAGAAAGTGAAACAGGTGGAAGACAAAAGTGGAAATTGAAGAAAGTGCTCATTTTAATTTAGCACATGCAAGCAGCCGGCACGACGAAGAACTTGTTTCAAATCCATACCCCCTCATCAAGGTAACTACACGTATGAGTTCATATGATGCCGCATTTAAGGTGAAGGCCATCGATCTGGCAGTAAAGGAGGGAAACAGTGCTGCCACACGTAAGCTTGGCATGAATGAATCCATGGTTCGGCGCTGGAGACGGCAGCGGGAAGAGCTCATTCAAGCCAGCTTCACCCGGGGATGATGACAGCAACACGGACAGCGACACTGACATCGCCACAGAAAAGGTATGTGACGAAGCTCTCCTGAGGCTGTTCAACTCCGACACTGAAGAAGAGGACTTTAATGGCTTTAGTGCGCAAGAGGAAGATGAGAGCGAATGACTTCTTCTGGTAGGCAAGTGTGTTTTATTTACTAACCAGGCATGTTTTGTGTGCAGTTTTTATTTTCTAATCATCCAGGGCTTATTAATGCTGTGTCAGCGCTGTTCTTTTCTTCTAAACAAGCAAATTACCGGTAATAACGTGTCAGTTCTGTTTTTATTTTATAACCATCCAGAAATATGAATGCTATCAGTGCTGTTTTCTTTTCTAAACTTGCAGGCACGTTCACCCGTGTTTAAAATTCGTTTTGTTGAATTAAAACAACAACGAAAAACCTCCGTGTAGTGTCTTTCTGTCTAATTATCTCATGTTATGGCCGTACATGCGCTGTGCACCGTAGACCTGCATGTGGCTGCTGCACCGCAGCTTGTATTTGAGTGTGGCGTGTGTGTAGAAAACCCTTTTTTTGTTGGTGCGGCTTATATTGAGGTGCGCTCTATAGTCCGGGAATTACGGTACAGGGAAAATGTCTTTCAGTCTTTTGCAGATTCTGTCTTCTTCATTTGATGCTCCACTGTCAAAAAACTTGTGACAGAGTTGCAAACATACAAGTGCTAAGGGTACTTCAAATGATTCCAGTGAGCACTGGCCCCCTTTATAAAAAAAAAAGTGTTGTAATTTTGCATTTGCACTGAAATATGATAATAAAATTCACTTCTAGCGTTGTGTTTTCCCACCATCTTTTTAGCGCCTGTGGAACCAAAGATAGGCAAAACACACACCGAATTAGCAACTTGGTCACACCCCTTACCCCATCTTCATCTTGAACTCATTATTCCACCTCAGACCTGTTTAAAGGCACCTGAAGGCCACATGAGTACCATGCATAGGGAGGCTGGGAAGGACCCAGACCAGATGAAGGGGTTTGGGAGGATGACAGGCTCACAACTCACACTCCATTTACGCAAACACAAATACTAAATGCAATAACCCATCTTCTCTAATCAAACACATGTTTAAAAACAACAAGGAATAATGGAGCTGAGTGCAAAAAACAAGAGGAAAAGTACCTGGAGTTACGACAAGTAGGATGTTGCATGCAAGTATAAATAAGTGTTTGATCAAATATTTGCAAAGCGTGCATTCCTTCCATTGACTGTTCATGTGTTTGCATGCAGAAGTCTAGATTTAAGCCCTGCCCTGGTGATGTGAACTCAAGAGTTCATTAGGTTCATTATTTTGACTTCAGCAGAAGGAGTGTGAGGAAGAGAGCTCTGTGTGCTGCATCTGAGCAGGCTTTTGGGTGAGTCTCTGTTAGAACAACGGGAACAAGGCGTGTGAAGGTTTAAAACAACATCGATGTGTGGTCTCATTACAGTAGACAGTAGAAGGTAATCGCTGAGTAATTACTCACTCATTATCCTCAGGGAGTTCAAGTCAAGGCGAACCTTGTGGAAGAGTGTGTATCCTGCTGCAGGATAGTCATTTCTGCAGTCGCAGTCCTGTCTGCGGCTGCCGTTATACGGGCATTGAAAGGGGTTCAGCAACCTGTGTGGTAGGGAAAATGAGTGTTAGGGTGGGTTTGGGACAAAAGCAGTAAGCTAATCTGCATTTAAGTCAGATCTGCCTCACACACACACACACACACCTGTGTCCATACACCTCAGAGTAATTGTCTGTCTGACCACTGCGCAGAGTCACATACTCTTTAGGAGAATCAGTCTGCATCTCAGCACAGTAAATCTAAATGCAAACACATCAAAGCATCAGACAAGCTTGCATGTGGAAGCTGCTGGTTGGAATCATGATGTGTGCAGGATTAAGTCTGACTGAACACACACCTGTAAGATACGAGACTTGACTTTCAGGTAAAATTCCCCATCCATCCTGACACCTTGCCTCATCTGGACCTCTCGACATGAAGTGAGCAGCTGGCCTTGGAAAGGAAATGTGAAAAAGGTGAGTTTATTTCAATAAAACTTGACAAAAACATCATATTGAGCCACTTTGTGTGTGGGGAATAGCCTAGCTCTCATTTATCAGCCCCTGACCACCTTAAAAGCTGTCACCCAAGCATGTTTTTTTAATTTCACTCATACCTGACTTGGCAGAAACTAAGTCTGGAATAATTAGCCCAGTGTGCAAGTACTGAAACACTCGAAATGTGTGTGAGTCAAACTCCGGCTTGCACAACTAAAGCTGCAGCACGAACTCTAGACATCCTCAGAAACTGGCCAAACCAAAGGATATGGCCGTATCGACGTTTACAGAAAACTGCTAACTTTCTGTTTATTGTTCCACTAAATTATCACCTCCAGAGGCTTTAAGTGGAGCCCGATGTTTTCCCTAAAGTGTAAACCGAAGCACAAAGCTGAATGCAATCAGACATGGATTTGGTCATGCACACAACATACTCCATTTAATGTTGAATATTCTATGTTGGCAGCATGTTTCGAGATTAGATAAGGGGAACAAGATGGTTGGATGAAGTTTACAGTGAAATTGGGAGGCTCACATTGTCTATCTTGACAAGCAGCTCGGGATTTGGGTCTTTCTGATGGACGGCAGTGTTTGGACGGCTGTTCTTTGGAGGTAACACACTCTACTTTGCGCTCCATCACTCCTGCGCCACATGTCTGGGAACACTGATAAATACACATGAATAATAAAAAGTACAGTTCCAAAGCTTAAAACATGTTTGTTTGGCTGTCTAAGAAGTGTTTTCTTGCTTCACCATGGTCCATGGTCCAACCTTCCAGTAGGTGGTGTGTGAGCACTCTCTGAGGAGGCATGGCTGGGTGGCAGGGGGTTGAGGCTCCGGGCAGCTTTTGCTTGTAAAGGAGGATGGAGGATAGAATTGCTGAGTGGAATAAGAAGAGGGCCTTGCAGAGCAGGAGACAATACGCTGCTGGAAGCCAACACCACAGCTGGCAGAACACTATAAAAACACACACTAGAGTTTAGAGTGGGAATGGGGCAAAGCTAATTCCAGAATTTACTTGAATAATTTACTTTTAAACAAATGAATGAAAGTTGGTGAATGTGCTCAGTCATCTAGGTCCCAGCAATCTCAGCTTCTCATCTCTGGAATTATTTTCATTCCAACAGAAAACATTTGGAGACTTTAAATCGTAGTGAGAGCTTCATTAATTCATAGCTTGTCTACAAACCAATCTTTCACCCACCCCCTGGGAGTTGTTAGGCCTAGTTTATACTACTCCATCTGCGATGGTACAGAGACATGCAATGTCATTATGCATCGGCGTAAAGCCTAATTTATACTTCTCTGTGACGGAGAGACACACACACTTTGATAGAGACTTTTGCTCTCAGAATTCTCGTAACCTAGGGAGTGTTGCAATGCAATTCCCCGCCAGGACTACAAAGGGCGTAGCGCTTTTCTGAGGTACCCTGCCACCATTACAGTCACGTATCTGGTTCACAGTAGTGCATTTATTATTGTGTTTACATTGTTTTAATGTATTTCAGAAAGTTATTACCACAGAGGAATTTGTCCTTCATTCTCCTTCACCTCTTTGTGCGATCGGCACCGCTAAACTCACGTTTCTCGACATTTCTGTCCACAGAAAGAAATATTGCTGCATATCTTCGTACTCCTTCAGTCACGAGTGAATACATATTTATATATTTGGAATTTTTCTGTGAAGCATTCTTCAAGATGTTCCGTGTCGGCTACTAAACACCTTTTTGTTTTTGACGGAGCAATGGTGGTACTGTTGATGAAATTACAGGAAGCAGCATCCTGACCAATCACAAGCTTCGATCTCTGTCACTTTCGACAGATGGTTAAAAATTGGGGCATGTCTCCATCACCCTCTGCGAGCCTGTCGGAAAGCCCTTCTGCCGACGCATAATGGCGTTGGGTGTCTTCGTACCGACACAGCTTAAGAGCTCTCTGACGGGCTCGCAGAGGGTGACGGAGACATGCCCAAAGTTTTAACTATCCGTCAAATGTGACGTAGACCTCAAGCTTGTGAATGGTCAGGATGCTGCTTCCTGTAAATTCGCCTGCAGCACTGCTACTGTTCCCTCAAAAAGTAAAAAGATGGAACAGATTGAAGAACACATCGTGGTAAAAGTCTGAAAATGTTAACATTTATTCACTTATGACTAAAGAAGAACAAAGATTTGCAGCAAGCAATATCTTCGTTGATGGAAATTACGAGAAATTACGAGAACCACGGTACACTATCGTGGGCTGGATACGTGACTGTAATGGTGGCAGGAGAATAATGCTACGCCCTCTGTTGTCCTGGTCGGGAATTGCTTTGCAACAATCCCAGCTGATGGAAAAGTCTGAGTGCAAAACATTCCTGGCAATACATGTGTGTGTCTCCCTCTCTCTCCTGGAGCTGACTGATAAGTTTTATTAGGCTTTACGTTCTTAGTCTTTGGTGTTTCTTGGTGTTCTTAGTGTTTTGTTGATTTGTTCAAGCATTTGGCTCTTTTATGTACAGCACTTTGGTTGAGAGGGTGCTCGCTGCGGAACCACAAAGGCGGAGCTGCACCAGAGTCAGCCCCACCCACTCACGCAAACAGCCTAGCCCACTGACTTCTTCTGTTTTTTATTTTATTTTATCGCAAACTAACCTGACCCACGTGAATTACGGCTATTACTAGTTTACAAATGTTAATGCTATGTTCTATGCTCCAATTAAACAAGATAAATATAACTTGCTACATGACAAAGCCTGAATATATCCCGAAATGATAAGGTTTCTTTCAGTAAACATCTGTCCATAGCTGCTCCAACAGAAGTGGCCTACAACAGCATTTAAGGACAATTGATTAGTGGGCTCTGGTAGTCTAGTGGCACGATCGTCAAACTTAAGTCTTGCTTTCCCCTCTGCTGATGTTGGTTTGACTCTCAGTGGGGTCAGCAGCAGTCTATTTAGCCAGCTGAAACAATTAATTTGTTTATATTTTAGTTGTAATGTTTATTTTCTGCAAAATATTTATGCCTCTAAAAGTTCTTTGCATTTGGTCGTTTTAGTTCAAACTCTGCTCACAAATGGACTCACACTGGCTAAATAAACGAATAAATTTAAAAAAACACATTAGTCATTATATTTTAAACGGTATACCAATAAATTGTTAAAAACATAGTACATGGCAAGTGTAGCTAGAAAAGAAGAAAAAAGTTTGCGCCCTTACCGGGAGGCGAACCTGCGCTAAACTACATGCCAAGCTGACTGCACGACCACCTCACTACTAGAGCTGACATCAAGCTAGTGGCGTCACATGTAATTGTGGCATCCAGTGTGTTTTTGTAGATGGGATGTATGGTTTTTCCGGCGGTGTCTCAGTAGAAGTCATTTCAGAAATAATTTGTCAGAAAATTCACAGAATATCCAGATTTGAGAACCAAGACCAGACCCGCTTTGGGGAAGGAGACCAAATTGAAGCTGAGATGGGAAGAAAATGCATGAATGAGGCCAAAAATGCCTTTGGCGTGTTTCTTATGAGGAAATGACAATATAACATGATAAAAAGTTCCAAAAGTTAGATTTTTAATTATATGGAACCTTTACAAAAACTGTTCAATTAACCTCTCAACTCCGTCCTCAATCTTGCATTTTAGATGATATTAGCTATAACACCCTCTTTGGTTCCAGAATGCTATCAAGTCTGACAACTGGAAGGAATTGGACTGACTCTGATGGAATGGGCGGGGCTGAATCTGGAATGGGCGGGGCTGACTGTGGTGCAGCTCCACCTTCTGGTGCAGCTCCGCCTTTGTGGCTCTGCAGCAAGCACCGCTTGCTTTGGTTAGCTGCCATGCTATTTTGAAACGGTGCTTTATAAATAAATTGGTATGGTATAGTCATCCTGGTATACATGAGACATGTTTGGTGACATCTTTGAAGGTAGAAGTGAACAGCTCAGTGCTGACCTAAAAAGTTGGCTCTTATGTGGGTTTAACTGTCAGTCAGGAGCTGTACACATAGGCGCCAATCTTGTGCGTGCTCCGGCGGCGGAGCACCTACGGGGGATAGATGGCAGTCTGACCAAGCCTTGTGAAAACTCATAGAATTTATCGCCCAAAATTGAAACTCCTTAGCCTAGAAATGTAGACAGATGTCGATCTAGCCACACTTCATGAGCCTCCGCAGGCCTGAGCAGTCTTATCTGGATAAGAGTAGTGGTACTTCACCATCGGCCGAAGCCTCCCACTTGGTAGGAGATATGTGATGTCAGTATTATTAATGAGAGGGGGACACAACATATTAGAATCGGAGTCATAAATTAAAAGTCAGACATTATCGGTATATCGGTTAAAAAGCTAATATTGAGCATCCCTACTTACAAGAAAGAAAGTCTAGTTGCATATTTAAAAAAAAAATGAAACAAAAGAACACCTTGAGGAAAAAAGAGGTCAGAGGAAAAATCCCTCTTCATAAAAATACAAACTGATGGATAGTAGGAGTGATTTTTTTATATTGTGTTATCATTCTTACCTGCGACCATTCCGCCGTTATCCACATGTAGAGACAAGGTGCTTCTTCACAGAGCTGGAGCGAAGAAGGTCTAGATGAAGGCTCACAGTAGTCATCGTGGACGGTTGTTCTCCCTGGGCCTTTACAGTCCACCTTTCTGCTTCTCACCCCTTCTCCACATGTTGCATTACACTAAAGATAAAGAAGAAGACTTTTTTGTTCTGCAGATGGTGCCAAAACCACAAAAAGTTCTAATTCTAAACTGTACAGAAATTAAAATTAAATGTGATCTGCTTAACAAACCAGATGAAAGTCGATCTGGTTTCCCTAAGGGATGATTTTTACTCCCCTGCACGGTCTCTGAGGTCAGCTGATAGGATGCTCCTGGAAGTCCCAAAAAAAGGTGCAAGCTCAGATGTGACAGGGCTTTCTCCGGAGCGGCCCCTAGGCTCTGGAATGTGGTGCCTTTGAGCATTAGGTCGGCCTCCTCACTGTCTGGTTTTAACCCTCTCAGGCTCAAAATAAGTGTTGATAAAAGGACGAACACTAAGTCCTTCAGGGGTACTTCTGAGTTAAAAGATGCTCATGAAATACGTATGTGGAGTAACCAGGTAGGTAGGTTTTAACATTGCAAATCTGCAACGCCTGCCTCCAGAGGGCTAACTCTCTTTTGAAAGCCTGTTTTCATGATTTGGCTTTTAACTCAGCGTGAGTCTTTTTTTAATGTTGCTTTAAATTTTATGCATTTGATGTTGTGTATTGTTTTTTAATATTTTAATTTCTGTGAAGCACTTTGGTCGGTTTTATACTGTTGTAAGGTGCAATATAAATAAAGCTGCCTTGCCTTGCCTTTTATATGAGGGTTTGACAGCAAATGCACTGATGTGGCTCAGAAATCGGTCGGCTGCATGTTGATTTCAAAGCCAAATTTTCAAATTATTGGAGGCTGTAAATTCCTGAGGCAACACCTGAACGGGTCAATAAAAATGGTTTAGACTAAAGCAGCCCATTAGCGTGAGACAGAACAGTAACACTTGGCAGAACAAAAGACACTGCAGCAATGTTTTGAGATCTTTATAGTTTTCTGGACCGATGGTTATCTTCAAAGCTCTCATGGACAAAAATAATACTTTGAGATTATCTTCTCATTGATGTAGAAACAGGGCAGATCTAATCTAAAAGTATCCATTAGCTTATTACACACAAGGAGACACAAACAAGGAACCAGTCAAAGAAAACAACTCCGCTTACATGTTCCCAGTCAGCAACAACCCAGGTGAACGGTGTGCACTCTGATGTGAGACACGGCTGGATGGTAGGAAGACGTGAGTGAGGATCACACAGATCCTCTCTGACCCGGCCAGTGCCTTTCAACCTGCAGTAAACGTCTCGCTTCTGAAGCCCAGGCCCACAGGTGGTGGAGCACTGGAAACACATACACACACACATAGGCAACAAAAGGACTTTCATTCAAAACTATTTGGATAAAACTTCCTGCACAAACGTACCCTTTTCTATTGCTAAACATTTAAGCAGAAATCTTGTTAGCAATGACCAAAGCTTGTTTTCTGAATTTAGTCAATTTTAACCAGTTCAACTGTTATGTTTCATTCATAATTTGGTGTGGTTGAAGGAACCTAAAATGTTTTCCCATTAAAGAACAACTTTTCTTAACAAATTCATGCTGGTTCACTGCCAAAACATATGAATTTAAGTAGATCTATTTTGTATAAATTGAATGGTTGCACTGCTATGCAGCAACACAAGGTTTGGAATTGATTTTCTGACTGAAGCTTTTTTTAACCTGTTCTCTGTGTGCCTGAGAGGTCTTTGTCCATTCTAGTTTCCTCCCACCATTCAAAAATCCTGTAATGCATAGACTGGTTTCAGTAAAAATGGAAGCAGTGTTTGGTTTTTTTTGTGTTTCAACTGCTTGGGTCTGATTTGCTCAGTGTTCCCTTTCAGTGCACTTATCTGGGATCACACTAAAGTCTATCTCAAACATCTCTGATGCTTTTAGAGAGGCATACCTCCACATTGAGGAGGCATTCTGTATGGCTTGAGCAGATCAAGCTGATTTCTTTGTTTCTAACCTCAAAGACCAAAGACTCATCAATTTCATGCAGCCTAAAATCCTGTCAATTACATAGCTGGATCTGATTTCCAGGAACGTTCAGCTCTATATATCTTGTGTGGCTGGATATGAAGGATCAGGTCCTTGAGTTTGTTGAGAAAACTTTTGAATTGACCAAGGTCTCTTTGTGAATATAACCCCCCCCCCCCCCCCCCACCCCCACCCCCCCGCTGAAGTGTTTCAGTGATTGTTGATGACCACAGCTACATTCATCCATTTGAGGTGCCACCAACACCACCTCGACCCAGCCAACCAATCCCCCCCACCTCCAAATTTCCCACCATTCAACAGCATCTCCTCCACCACCAACCCTTCTCTGCACCACACTCCCCCTCCCCCCCCTCAGTTACATCTGACCAGGTGATAAGAGAACTGAGGCCCCTTAAGGGCAGGAAAGCTACAGGTCCTGATGGGATCAGCCCCAAACTGCTCAAAGACTGTGCTGGCCAGCTTTGTGAAGTGGTCACACACACGTTGAACCTGAGCCTTCAGTTGGAACAGGTCCCCCTCTTATGGAAGACCTCCTGTGTGGTTCCAGTTCCCAAAACATCACATTTCAGCAAACCATAGCACTTTGGACCAGTAGCCTTGAACTTCCATCTGATGAAGACTATAGGGAGACTCATTCTCACACATCTATGTTCTGTGGTGAGCCTGGAAATAGACCCACTGCAAATTTGCATATAAACCAAACATGGGGTGGAGGAAGCGCTCATCTACCTGCAGCACCGAGCTCTGACTCACCTCTACATGCATACATGCATTGTGAGAATCAGGTTCTTCAACTTCTCAAGTGCCTTCAATACGATCATGCCATGTCTAATGTTGCAGAAGATGAGGGGTGCAGGAGTGGACAAAAATCTGACTGCATGGACAGTTCCACTGAATTGGGAGACAGGGGTGGTGGTCCCCCTATTTAAAAAGGGGGGACTGCAGGATGTGTTCCAACAACAGGGGGATCACACTCCTGAGCCTCATTGGTAAGGTCTATTCAGGGGTTTTGGAGAGGAGGGTCCGTTGAATAGTCGATCTTCAGATTCAGGAGGAGCAACTTGGTTTTCTTCCTGGCCGTGGAACACTGAATCAGCTTTATACCCTTAGGGGGAGATTGAGTGGAAGTTCAATCAACCAATCCAAATGTGTTTTGTGGATTATGGAGTATGGGGTATCAGGACCTCTGATACGGGCTTTTACGTCCCTGTATGACCAGTGTCAGAGCTTGGTCCGCATTGCCAGCAGTAAGTTGGGCTCATTCCCTGTGAGAGTTGGACTCTGCCAAGGCTGCCCTTTGTCTCTGATTCTGTTCATAACTTTTTATTGACATTTCAAGTGCCTTAAACACCATCCAGCTGTGTCTACTGTGGCAGAATATGAGGGATGCAGGAGTGGATGAACATCTGACTGCATGGACCATCAACTACCTCACCAGCAGGACACAGTACATGAGGCTGCACAACTGTATGTCTGAGGTGGTTGTGTGCTGTACAGGAGCTCCACAAGGTACGATGCTCTCACCCTTTCTCTTTACCTTCTACACCTTGGAATTCACCTACAACACCAGCAGCTGTCACCTCCAGAAGTTCTCTGATGAATCGGCCATTGTCGGCTGTGTGTCAGAGGGGAATGACCTGGAGTACGGGTCAGTCATCATGGACTTTGTGGACTGATGTGAGCGTGATCACCTTTGCTTGAACACCAGTGAGACAAAGGAAAGGGTGATTGACATCAAGAAAAACACCCTCCTCCTCATTCACAATTAAACATCCAGGGAGCAGACATTGAGGTGGTGAATGCCTTTAAATACCTGGGTGTTCACCTCAACAGCAAACTGAACTGGTCTAACAACACAGATGTTCTGCATAGGAAGGGCCAAAGTCGCCTCCACCTCCTGAGGAGGCTGAGGTCCTTCGGAATTAATTCCCATCTGCTAAAATCCTTTTATCACTCTGTGGTTGGCTCAGTTATCCACTTAGCTGTGGTCTGTTGGAGTGCAGTCAGCTCTGACCGAGACAGGAAGAGACTGAACAAGCTAGTTCACAGCGGTAGCTCGGTTCTGGGCTGCCCGCTGAATTCAGTTGAGGAGACGCGGGAAAGGAGGATGCTGGGGAAGATGACCACCATCTTAAAAAACCCTACCACCCACTGCATTCTACTGTGGAGGCCATGGAGAGCTCCTTCAGATGCAGACTGAGACATCCCAGAAGTAAAACAGAACACAACTGTAGGTCATTCATCCCCCTGGAGTAAGAGTGTATAACTCCTTTATTTAAGCTGTACTGTCCTTATCCTGTTAACATCAATGCAATACTTAGTATGTGTTCAATACATACTTGTGAGCTATACTGGAGTTACATAGTATGTCTGTGTCCATTATAGTACGCTTACAACAATGTAAACCGGCAATTTGTTTGCAACATTTGCAAAACACTTCTGCTGATTTTAACCTTCCACGATTAACGTACAAATGTCAAAATTCATCATTGTTTGTTTCTGAAGTATCTTAATTTTGTTTGCACCTTTGTTTCCTTAGAAATGTTTGTCTTTTGTGTCTCAATACGGGACAACTTAGTTATAAGTCGCCAACCTGTCCCAAAATGTTCTCACATTTCTCACACTAGCAGATGACCCAAAGCAAAAATCACACAGGCTGAGATGGGTTCCAGATGCCCGTGGTGAATGTGTGAGTATTTTGAGAGAAAATCTTTCTCGCAAAGTTTTTGAACATTTTCAAACTTCCAGCCACACGAGAGCGAGGCCCTGTGACTTATCCGAGGAAACCCTCACAAGCATTTACAACCCATTTAGAGCTCTCTTGCACGTGCCATTCACAATTTGTCACCAAGAGTAGCAGCCTAGTGAGGTGGGGTAAATTATATTTGTGTATTAGCTATTAGTGTGTTTACACAGCTGCCTGTTTCTTATTTGGATTGGCAAACCTTGCACAGTATACTGCTCAAACTGCTGAGCACATAAAATAAGGACATTTATGTTTGATTTCTTGTTTTGTTCTTTAACAATACTTCTTGGCAAAAGATCTTAAGCTGCTAAAAACCCTCATTAGTCACCTAAAAGGTCAAATTGTAAAGATTGTTCATCGGTGGAATGAGCAGGGGAATTCAGCAAGGGATTCTGGCACTTTGTTTAGGTGGGGTGTGGCCGTGCACATGGAGACTAAAGTCTGCAGAGGAGTGAGGAGTGGACAGAGCCACGGGAGCGCGTCTGGGCACAGATAAGATGCGTTCCAAATAAGAGGGATGAGGGATTTATACACCTGCGACCGAAAAGAAACAGACTGACTGAATGGCTAATAGAAAATACAGAGGTCCGATTGTTGATTAAATGTTAAAACTGCTCCTTATGCCTGAACTGTTCCCACTCATCTCCTCACCTTTCTGAAGCGCTGTTTATTTTTCTTTCCTCATCTTTTACAGATTTGTCCCCACTAATATTTACAGATCCCATCATGCTAATGTAATATTTGTCCCAGTCATAAAGCGCGCGACATCCCCCTCCCTGCTTTCATAGCGATTGGAGATGAGCGTGTGCGGTGCTGCACACACTCATCTCCGATCTGCAAACACCTGATGTGTTTGGCGCTGTGTGTTTATTTTTGCTGTTCGTAACACCGGCTCGAGGTGGGATGGCGGCTGTGGGTACGGCCGCTGTCACTCACTCCAACTCCAGTCGAGTGCGACTGCTCCATCACTGGTGTGATTGTAATTAATTAGATTATTCCGTTACCTAAAAAAAGTAATGTCGTTAGTAACATTGTTATGCCTCAATGCCATTACTCCCAACATTGTACAAAACTATGAAGATGTTTGCATTAAAAAGTCAACATTATTGCTAAACTATTCATGGTGTGACCATTTAACAAACTGGGTCACACAGCTGTAATGTGTTTGATGGTAGTGATGTGCCAGGGGCGGCACGTCTGAATGGTAAAGGGTTCAAGTCTGCAGGTATGGAAAAATAAAGTATTCAACTGCTTCCTCTAAAGAGGAGGGCAAATCTTTGTGAACTAGTAAAAAATACAGAAGGGCCGCTATTACTCATCGTCAGTCAGAGGTGACCTGAGTGGGGCTATGTAACTGCCTCAAACAATGGGGTGCAGAGGTTTCAAAATGTCATATGCATGAATGTTGAGATATAAAGCATGTCGTTTTGCTCCAGCTGAGGATTTCATGGTAGATGGTGGTATGTTTGAGGAAAGAGGGGAAGAAATGATTGCTTCCAGACACCAGTCAGAGAAAGGTGAGTGGTAGGGGAGGAGGACACACTCAAAATTTAGGGAGTAGATTATTTATTTATTTTTTTTATCATCTGAGATTTTATAGATTATGTTTCCGTCTAAATAGTTTCGAGTGAAGAGAAATCATCTGTATCATTCCATGATTTCTGAATGGCATAGCCCAGTTAAAGTTCAAAGCACCAAACTGTTGGAAAAACCTGCAGTTTTACGAGTCATTTTTTACACCCTGACTGGTGAGACTCTGGCTGGACCAGCTGCACCTCTGGATCTGAACATTTCTTAAACATAGCATGTACGAAAAAATGCATGTCCATGTGTGGTCCGACAAAAAGAGGAGCCTGCAGTGCATGAAACTGTTCATTTACTCTCTAGGAGGATTTGTTTGAATATTATAAACTTGAAATAAAAATGTCAAGTCTGCAGTATAAACTGTTTTATGAGTCCTGCCTGCAGTGTTTAGTTTACAGAAAATGACACGTTACTCTTGTATGGGAATAAACTAGACGTATGCTACATCTGCATCTGCTGGTGAGCTTTGAATTGTGTTTGTGTGTCTCAGCTGATGGGCTGCAGCTGGGGAAAGGCTATTAAGAGAAGCCGGGGGAGCAGCAGGAAGAGCAAACATACCTCACGCCACCTGTTGGCTTTCCATGTGGGACATCCTCGGGCACGGCATGTCTTCTGTGTTCGTGGCCGCGGCAGATGACTGCAGTGAGCCTCCTCGATTCTGGTTTGGTTCTGTAGAAGGCAAGAAATCTCCCGCTGCTTGATGCCCCGACCACAGCTCACCGAACACTGGGAAGAGAAGACAGGTTGGTTTTTGTGGACAGAAGAAAAATGTATGTCTGAGATAGGAGTGCAATAAGGTCACAGTTAATAATTCCTAATCAGAATTTATCAGTTTAGATTCACTAAAAGGTTTTCTGAAAGAATGATTTGCTTCCTGAATAACTGTATTTTGTTTGTTTGTTTTGTTTTTCATGTGCAGAAATGTGCTTTTAAAGCATTTTTTTGTGGTCCTTACAGTTTAAAACCTGTTTAGCATCTTTTTGTTATAGAGCAGAACCACTCCAACCAAAGTAAAGTGTGGGTTAGAAAAAACTCATCAGCCACTTTACTTTTTATGAGATGGTTAGAAAATATTTATTAAATGCACATCCATTCTCAATTAACTTCTAACATCTAAGAAAAGCTAAACAATATTAATAACTCAATCAATTTTACAGATTTTGAGCAACAATTTAACAAAACAGAGCTGTGTGTCAATCACAACACCTGTCATTAATCACATGTGTAAAAACTATAACTTAATGGTCAAAACCTAAACTATGAACATTTAGTCCGATCTCAATATCTGACATTAATACTGCTGTTATCATCTATAACTAGGTGGTAAAAATGGTAAATTGCCTATATTTGATATAGCACCTACTAGAGTCCTGGAACCTCCCAAAACGCTTTACAGCACAATCAGTCATTCACCCATTCACACACACATTCACACCCTGGTGGTGATGAGCTACGATGCAGCCACAGCTCAGCTGCCCTGGGGCGCACTGATAGAGGCGAGTCTACTGTACACCGGTGCCACCAGTCCCTCCGGCCACCATCAGCAGACAAGGTGGGCTAAGTGTCTTGCCCAAGGACACAACGACAACGACAGACTGAGCGGGCTCGAACCTAAAACATTCTGATTGCAGGCAAGCACATAACTCCTTTGTCACCGTCACCACCGTGAGGGATATGTATAGATATGTGTGTGTGTGTGTGTGTGTGTGTATATATATATATATATATATATATATATATATATATATATATATATATACATATAAAATTATGTAGAAACTACTATGTATTGATTGGTTGGGAGTACGTAACGACTGTAGTATTAAACTCCTGAAAAGCATTTTATTGAAGTTTTCAATGACCCACTGTTTTCTATCACACCACATCTACCGGTAGATATAGGTCTAGCACCACCCTACACCATGTCAATCTTGTTCCTTAAGTTTTTTAACAAATAACAACTTGAAACAAAAAAATTCTAGCTAAATAATGTAAACAATTTCTGTACAAGTTCTACCAGTTGGCAGCAGATAATGACGACAATGCTCTTGGTTTGTAAGGCCAACGGTTTCTTGACTGAGCATAACGTTTTATATGACAGATGCAGGTTGGTTTCTGGGGTCATCAGGTCAATGTCAAGCCTGTTAAATTTCTTTGTCTGAAACAAAATATCTCTCTGGTATGAACTGTTGCCCACATTTTTTATGAGTGCAAAACCATCACATGAGATTAAATGAGGTTGCTTATAATTTTTTGACTTCCTTTCAGTTTGGTTGTTGTGCATTATTCAGCGTCCGAGGTGCTTTGTCTTTTAAAGTCCAAACAAAGTCCTTTGTAACGGCTAACAAAAAACATTACAATCGTAGTTTAACTACAAAGACTAAATGGATTTTACCAAAAGCTTTAGCAGGAAAAACTCACTCTGATGGAATGCAGCAGACTATTTCACCTGTAAACACAGGATTTACTGTGAAATCTGCTGAGAGTGATGGAGGCTCAGAGAGGAGAGGTTGCACAGGCACACTGTGAAACAATCATCTGGTATTAATAAGGTAAAGAGAAGTACTTTGGCTAAGCTCAACAGAGAAGAAAACATATTGAATAAGAACCAGACACCCTGATGACAGCTCTAAAAAAAGGGCTTTAGATTGGCTGAAATGATTCTAAGGACTTTGGCCCCCATGAGGCCATATAGCAATTACGGTGCCTATTTCTGCTCCTCTATACACAACCCAGTCCAAAATGGGAGTACTGGAATTAGATACACCAGATGAAGAGGGTTACAAGTTGTCTTTGCATATTTTCCAGTCCAGATAAAAAACATAATGTTGCATTGTCCTTCAATTATGACCTCAGAGATTTACATAACACCAAGCCCATGATTATTCACACCACAGAAGATGACCTACTCTACGAAGATTGTACAAATCAGGATTTTATTTTTTCTTCTATATTTTAGAAGCTGGAAGGTTTGGGAACTTCTTCAAATGAAGCCACTTCCTGCCTCTTTTTCCTGTTGGTGCGGGCAACTCCGCACACACACACGCCACACACACACACACACACACACACACACACACACACACACACTGCAATTATCTAAGCATTTTAAACATAGGGCATGCTCAGCTGATGGAGGACATCAAAGCAAAAGGACAGAGCTCAAGTGACGACCATACCCGCGGCACACTCAAACAAAAATGATAACAAACCCCCAGCTCCTCCAACTGAGAGAGGAGATGACACAGGCAAACATGCAGAAGGTGGGGTGTGGGGTTGTGGCCCCACCTCACTTTTGAAGAAAAAAAGAAAGAAAAAAATGAGAGAGTGAGAGAGAGAGAGAAAAAAATAAGAGAACGAAAGAAAATCACAGTCATATGGGCGACACTTCCCCCAGCTGAAGTGTAGCTGTAGCTTACTGGTGGGAAAGTCGACGCTATATGAAGATCTCCTCTTCTCGCTAACCTGCTAACCTCGTCTGTCAACTGCTAGTTCATCAGAGCAGGTAACAGAGAGAGAGCTGGTACAACCCAGGGGAGGGGAGCACTGGTTCATCTCTAAAGAGGACCTCTGATTCACCGATCCACAGCGTCTGGGTTTCACAGGTACGTCCTTTTAACCAAAGAGGCTTTAACAATAATGCTCTCTATATTTTAAAAGTGTCAACTTTTGAATCAACACATCTTGAAGAATGTTTATACCTGAACGTATGTAAAAAGCTGCTCTTTCATGCATTTCATTACTTGTCTGTAATTAAGAATATGAGGGAGACACAAAAATTAAACAAAACACAAATGAAAGAGTCATACGAGGAATTAAACTCTCTAGAGACAGATTTGCCCTCCCACGTTGTTGCAGCCTTTAATTCCACGTGATTAACTGAGTTAAGTCTGGTATAATCCGTGAAGGCAACATGTGGATTATGTTGAACTGGAATGACTTCAGGATTTGGCACCTGAACATCAGCCAAGTAAAACAACTTGTTTAAATCATTTTCTTTGGGTATAATAAAACTCCCATTAAGAACATAGGATTGATGTATTCTACAAACACATTACAGCCTAATCCTCACCTTAAAATCTAGAGAGACTTGCATAAAAACTAGCATGCACGTTCGACAGATTCAGTATAAACATATTTTCAAGGTGATTTATTGAAATAACCCTTAAAAATTAATGCTAACAGAGTCTGATGTGAAATGCTACCATTGTTGAGCGCTGCCAAGTAAGGATACTGTATATGTTAGAATATGAGGTACAGTTTGAATTCCAAGCACATTGCAGCATGCACACAATGCAAGAGGATGGTAATACCAAACATATGGCAACTGTGGCCACATAGAGTCTTCAAAGTGCTCAGTTCTGACCCAGAGCATGAAGAGACTTGCAGGTGTAGAGCACAGGTGAGGAGGGGAGAATCACACTCTTAGCTAAATGTTGTCAAACCTTTTAGATTTCAGTTTTTACTGTCAAACATCACAAACCAGGAAATGAGATTTAAAAAAAAAGCGTACACGGATCAAATCAAGAACGGGATGCTCTTAAAAAGACAATATTCAAAGTCAAGGTCAGCTTTATTTCTACAGCACACTTACTGTTGCTCATGCAACCCAACGTGCTCTACATACACAGCAGTGTTCAGATTATTTTGTACATGTTTTATTTTCACAGGCCGGTTTCAGAAGACAGACATGCTACAGTAACAGAAACAGCTGGTAAGAGCAGCGTCACGGGGCGGAGGAATGTCAGGAGTCATAGATGTTTAATGCATTTACACATCCAGCCCAGATCACACAGTTTCCATCCATCCATCCACCATCCATCCATCCACCATCCATCCATCCATCCATCCATCCATCCATCCACCTACCTATCTACCTACCTACCTACCCACCCACCCATCCACCCATCTATCTATCCATCCATCTATCTATCCATCTATACATTAGAGTTAGTTATATATCCAAAGAGTTGTAGCAGGAACAGGCCTAGGGCCCAACGAGAATGTGATTGATTCATTAACTTCTCACATTAAAGGTGATGTGAAAAGGACTTCTTGTCCCTGTCTCTGTTGAATTTGACTTCCTGTCAGCTCAAAGAGACTAAACTGAACAGCACATGCTGCACTCCATGCCTAAACACAATCTGCCATCGATGAAGTGTTAAACAAACAGCTAGCTGACACGGCATACACACTGGCCTTAACACATTTTCCTTTTTAAGTCAACATCACTCAGGAAAGGTAAAAATAAAACGACAAAACAGACGAGTTTTTCCATCTGGTCAAACATTCCACTGGATGCTTTTTCTGTGTTTAACTCAATCAGTAAATCACCACTACATGGAATACTGGAGAGTTTACACAGCAGAAACTGATTTCTGAAAAAGTTTAAAAACAACACATAGACATTTTAATCTTTTTTTGTCTAAAAAGCGACCTAGCTTACCAAATTAGCAGTTTTTTTTACTCAAAACATGACACTGCAGTTTGACTTGCTTTTAGAGTCCAGTATTACTTAATTGTCGTTAAACTGACAGTGAAACACATCTCCTCCCCATCTTCTTCATCTTTTTCAACACCTTAATTTAACAGCTGAAATGTCTCCTCAGCCTTCATTAGTGTCTAGGTGTGGTTTATTAGCCTGGCCAGCCATGCCAATGTTTCCTTATGGGAATCAAAGGGCCTGGTAACACTCACATTCAAATAACCCCATCCACTGAGAATTCTAACCAAGCCAATCAGCACTGAGCGGCGTGCATCACACACCGCATCGCTCTGTTTCTCAAAAACAATGAAGGCGGCGCCTGAAGTGGAGTTCGCTGTGACTTTCCTCTGTTCTAAATGACTTGAACATGTCTTTAAAAGCACAACAAGTAGAAATGCTAAAAGATATTTGCGCCGTCACCAGACACCATCTTTGACTACAGCTAAAAAACTACAGAGTTGCACAAGACAGTCGTCTAGTGATGGGTACCGAATTCGGTACTTTTTAAGGTACCAACCGAATTCCATAGTACCGACTGAGCACCGATTCACATCATTTTAAATGGTGCCTCATTTCGGTACCCGTCCTTCATAACGAGAACTTGCCTAGACAGTTGCAAGAGCGTAATGTCGTCGGTCGCTGCGAGCCAGTTGTAAACAGAGCAGCATGGTAGAAAGAACGCACGCTAAAGCTTGGGTCCACTTCACTAAATGTGATGGGTAACTGGGTGATGATGAAACCAGTGACAACGATCTAAGTGAGACATCCTCATCTTAATCTGCTCCGGTAGGTAAATAAAATGTTTAAGATAACGTTAGCTTGATACGTTAGCTTCCGTTTCGCTAATGGTGCATTCGCTTTCTCCTCCGAACTCCAAATTTCTGACTGGAAGAACATGAACGCGCTCAAAAGTTTGGCTTCACTTTATTAAATGCGACGAGTGATTGGGTGAAGATGAAACCAGCGACAACGATCTAAGTGTGTGGCATCATTGTTTTAATCTGCTCCAGCAGCTAAATAAACTGTTTAAGATAACGTTAGCTTGATAAATTAGCTTCCATTGCCACCACTGTTATCAGCTAATGGTGTGTTCGCTTTCTCCTCGGAAATTCTAGCTTCCCAGTAGGAAAAATCAAATGAAAAAGGTCAGCAAAAGGAAATTTAGTAAATTTAGTTCACGGTAAAGATGTTTGCTTCAGTTTAATTATCAGCTTATAAAACTACAAGGACGATGTTAAAATACAAACAGTTTTATGTTATTTATTGTGAAATGTATCAAATATGGATACATATATTGAGAAAAATATATATTTTATTATAAAAGAGAATTAAAATATTAAACACTCAAAAGTATCTAAAATTGGTACCGTTAAGTACTGGTATCGATTCCTAGGTACCGGGAATTAGTACCGAATCAATTCAAATGTCAAAGGTACCCATCGTCATTTCCGCCGTTTTTCTGATTGGTCCTTTTTGAGCTGCCTAGTCCCGCCACTCATGGTGCTTTCTGCCAATGAGTATCCAGACTTGTCCCCTGTGTAAAATAGACAGAGGGCAAGGTTCATCCCTAAATCAAACAATTCAGCAGTGTTCACGATCTAAAACCTGAATAAAACATGCTGGAAGCAGACTGCAGCACCTGGCATGTCAGGTCCATTTTTACTAAGAGTAACAGCGACCGGCCCGGATACTCTGAAGCTGCGAGTGCGCTATTCTGGACACAGATGGCGGTGAGGGTCTGAGTGGCTTTTCATTCACCCTGAAATGCCGGCTCAGGAAAATGAATTTAAAAAATTAAAAAGTTGCATAGCATGGCTTTAAGAATATTTTGCTCATTTTAAATAAAGCCATTTTCTACAGAACAAGTGTTTTTCTAAAAATAAAATAAAATGTCTAAAATGAGGCATTTTTACTTTCTTAGAAATCAGATTTTGCAGTGTAATTAGATGTTTTGCTCAGAAACAGCTGAATGAAGCCAATTGTTGATGTTTGGGCCTTGCAAAACACACGTGACACATTAGCTGCATTATTATAACTTTTGACACCAAGCATCAAATTCTTATTACATCTTCCTGCTAAATGTTCCACAGCTGCTTTTCTAATCTGTCATAGCAGCCAGCGGGAGGGAGGTGCGGAGAAACTTGGAGAAGAAGATGATCTTGGCATTGACCTTCAAGGAAACGGACAGAAGCAACTGATATGAGACAAAAAATCTTGTCATTAATGCTGTATTTGTTTTGCTGTGGGGGTTTAATACTCCAACAATCAAATATTATTTAAGTTATTGAAAGAATCAAAAATGTGCAAAAGTTAAAATCACCCTAAATTTTGTGTATTTTTTATTTCAAGCAGCAAGACTATTTTGTATTATTTTAAACTGATCTCGATCAAGACTCCAGACATTCCAGTGGTCTTCCAATTAATTTTCTTTGAGCTTTGGCTGATTTGTTTTGTTTTGTTTAACTCATTGCTGTTCATGCACATAATTATGACAGCATATTGTTCCATAAATATTTTTGAAAAGAGGGAAATGTAAAGAAAAGAAGATCTAGAAGATTTGTTTTTATCTTTTTTCGCTGACAAGTTTTGGCTAACGCTGCAGTCTTCCTCAGAGCACCGCCGATGTCGGTGGTATTACTTTCTTCTACTACACTGTGTTTAAAAAATAATTAAAACAAGGGAATTTCCTGGTCTGACGGGAAATCTTGAGCGTTCACACGACTTTGGAGTAAACAAACTTAAGTACAGTGTGTTTCCGGCACCTTCTTTACTGATTGGCTAAATGTCGCACTGAACCGTTAGCACGCTTGTTTGTCCTCGGAAATCAGATCAAGACAGCCCCGGTTTATGATCTGAGCCGTCCTGATGTCCGTCTGACCAAAGTGCTCTTAACACACCACACAAGGTAGGATTATCTGATAAAATTATCTCTATAACCATTCTGATAATCAGACAGGTCATTGGGATTGCGAGCAACATTATCCTGCTTTTAAACTGGGCTGAAAATAAAGAAGTTCAGTTGTTTTTGTTTGAACCTTAAAGAGACTACCGTGCCTGAGATGATGAACCGTCACCACAGAACCTGCAGCTGTGTTTGAAACCAAATGAACCAAATTTTATAAACAGTAGGCCTACATTGGGTCGTGTTTGATACCCATGAATCTTCTCGCATCTGCGGACCAGTGGTTCACTTCAGAGCAGGTTGAAACCTGACAGGCAGTGAAAAACACCCTGGCATCTATGGATGACATCACAGCTTTAGTCTAACCTATTCAATGACGTAAACACCCAATCTGTCCCCACCCCATTTCATCAAGATGGAGATTCCTGTTTTAAGTCAGAGGGGTACATATTTAAAATTAGGCAAATAATTGCCTCATACAGGCCTTTATAACATCAGTCGTTAGTCAATGAGCTGCTTTCTACCTGTGAGGTCATGCCCTCTGTCTGTCAGTGGGTCTGGGATACTCCAAACTAAATGCTTCCAGACTTCAGAGGACTGTCTCTTCTCATGTTGTCTCACCACATCTGTTCCTGATCACCCTCAAACTACAGCGAAAACTCTTCTCTTAATTTTTTCCGAAACAGCTTTAAAAGATCCTTAAAAAATGTCTAGTAACCTATCCTTCACAATAAAATATTCATACAAGCTGCAAAGATTTTCTTTATGCTTGCCATCTGATAGTCCTAAAGGGGAATTTCATTCCTGACGCAGAAGCAGTGCTGCGCCCCAGATATGTTAAATCATCAGATAACATCTCGCTGCATCTGGTTTTCTGCCACCAAAGCCTTCATGTTTGGAGACAATCTGTGGTCAATAGTACGGTTTTGCTTCGTCCCAGAGCCCAAAGGAAACACTATCTACCAACGCATGTTTGAGTCAAACCATAAAAGAGACATGCTTGTGGGGGCCGGGGTGGACCTCTCATTCGCTAACTCAGTTGTTCACACCGAGCTGACGTATGGGCACAATCAGGAAACGCAACATGTCACAAACAAGTGACCCTAAGGTGAAAGGTTTGGAGAACGATCCTGCTCTCAGGTCTGTAGCTGGTGTGCATGTGGACTTGATTTAAAACACCATGATTACCTTGCTGTAGCTTTACTGCCCCTACGCCCCATGGGAAACCCAAACGTAAAAGGAAACGGTGTGTTTTTGCTAGCAACAAAACGGCATAGATTACTAAACTGGTGCTTTGGTTGACCCCCTGTCTGACGCTGATGTTTTGTTTTCATAAATATTACTGTTCAGGTTATAATAATTAGTGGTTTTACATTCCTGGTGCCTTTGCTGTTCGTAATTCATGACTTGTGCAATAAAAGTGATAATTTCGTTATTTTCAGATGCAATAATTAAGGTTTAATAAAAATCTTAACAAAAAATAGAAATTGAATATAAACTATGACAACTATTCAGTTTACAAGAATGGTATAATTTGTAAGATCTTTCAATTTTTAAAACGAATTTATGAAAATTCTTATTCTTATTATTATTATTACTCTTTATTAACATGTTTTGCATTCATTTACACAAGTTTACTCCAAAACATGTTTCTTTATTTCTAAAAGAGCTAGAGCAAATGTCCTTCTGGTACATTTGGGTTAGGGTTAATATCAATTCTTAATAAATATGAGGGATGCAGGACAGATTTAAAGGTCCTTATTAAAAACACATACATCACACTAACTGAAGGCATTAACTTGATTATCATGATTAATGTTATCATGAACACGAACAAAAGGTGTATTACTTAACAGATTAATGACATACCCATAATGTAAGGTAAATACTCACGTTTATACATTTTCCTTTGCAAAAAGTAAGTTTCTAAATATATAAATGGTAAATAATAAAATAATAAATATAATATAATATAATAAAAATACTTAAAAACACATATGAAACAACATATGTCATATTTACTAGAGCTATCTAAAATCAGCAGGCCATGAATCAGTAAAAAGCTTTCATTGATTGCGTCTGTAATGTATTTATTTATCTTTAGTCCTTTATAGTTGTATGAAGTCGAAGGCTGAATTCTCAGTTATTAAAATATTATTCACGGTAGTTTTTACAATTTAAACTGTGCATTTAATAAAATAGTGTTTAAGCACATTTTACTAAACAGTCGTTGCTCACATGCACTACTAGATTCTATTACCTGCTGCCAAAAGCATTACAGAGGGGTCCTTTATTGCAATAGTTAACAGATGTGGCCTCCAGAGCCAATGTTTGATTTGTTTGTTTTCTGCAAGAAAATTATAAAATGAAATGTTAAAAGGATTAAAAAGGTCTGTGCTGTTGTTACACTGCAATGTGCCAATTAGGTTTGTAAAATACGTCAGAGGGTGGTCCTAAATCAGCTGCTCAAAGAGAAGTCCACATCTTTGCGAAGTGGGGTTGCAGATAGCTATCTGAACAACCTCAGTTTGGAGAAACAAAGATTAGCTCTGACCAGACAGATGAGAGGGTTACAGAAGGGTTGGGTACAGAGTGTTTCGTTTTATAGCAGTTCTTATAAATGTGAAATGAATTGAAAATTTAATTATTTACAAATGTACTTAGTCCACACACCTCTGGACAAAATGTCATAATAACTGTAATAACTAATAAAGAACAGGAAAAGTTAAATCACGACAAAATAAAAGTTAGAACATACAATTGGCAAAAACTGAAGAGACACTTTCGAACCTGTTTGTTTAAATATTTTAAACCCAGACTGTTGGTTCGTCTATGTTTCTCCAAACTGAAGCCATTCGAAGGGCAGTCTACAACAGTTAAGGTGCCCAGTGTACAAAATCACAAATCGTGTGCTGCTGGTGGTGGTCGGAGGGGCCGGTGGCACCAGCGCATGGTAAGCCTTGCCTCTGTCAGTGCACCCCAGGGAAGCTGTGGCTACACTGTAGCTCATCATCACCAGCGTGTGAATGTGTGTGTGTGAATGAGTGAATCACTGATTTTGTTATGAAGCACCTTGGGGGGTTGTAGAACCCTAAGAAGGCGCTATACAAATACAGAACATTCACAGTGTGAACTATCCCTTTAAGATGGAATTAGTCAAATTACTTGGCCAGAAGATGGATGAGAGATGCGTAAATCAAGCCATGAATGCAGAACCGGTCCTACAGAAGCACCCAACCGCTAAAAACATGACTGAAATGAGCTAAGTGTAAAAATGTACCACAACATCAGAGATTATTGCATGTGCCAAAAAAACTGTTACTCTGTCAACAAAATAAACTATATTCCACCATTTTCCACTGTGTTGTGTGTTCATATTTGTAATCCCCATTTCACTCTGATAGCATCAGCGGTGCGCAATGTCACTGATTCAAAGAGAATCTTTAGCCGTACCTCTAAAGTAAAAGTCGGGTTCTATTTTTGCCACGAGCCGCTTCTGGGACACGTCCATTACAGCATTTAGGCTAGACAGGAAATCACTCATGGTTTCAGTGTAAAATCCCTGGTAATTTTCAAAATAAAAGTACTGCAGAAATGCTATTTCATTTATATGAAGCATACTCGTGACCCAATGGCCCACTTGCTCCCAGTATCATTCCAGAAGTGGAGCTGTGTGTTTTTCATAGTTTTAAAAGCTTTCCGGAGTTTTCTACTTTCAGAAATTATGTATGGTTTGTCAGAAATCCGTAAAAGTGATTATCTTATCATGTACTGTGATATAATGTCAGCAATATGTCTTTTTTTGTTGCTAAGCACGCCCCCTGCCTCACAGAGCTCTGTGCAATAGGAAACTGAGCGCCGACCAGAACTAACCAATAGCGTTAGACTACCACTTAGATGCTTCAAATTTAAGGAATACCTCGGCTGATGCAACGTTGATGAACTTTTCACGGACAAGAAAGTCTTTAAAATGTAAAGATATGAAAACACAACAAGACATGAAAATAATATTTGTGTTTTAGCTCTGTCGGCTACAGAAGCACATTTATAAACAAGAAACGTGAAGTCGCCATCTTAAAAAACTGAGCGACAGACTTTTTGTGTGACATGCTTGTCAGCCACTAGATGGCGTCATTGGATAAGAGAAATATTCCGGAAAGAGACTTTAATCCTGGCAGTGGAGAGGAACAACATCATATATGACATCAAACAGCGATATCAAACGTGATCTTCTTTTTGGTTTAATGGGTGATTGCATAAACAAACCGTGAACTTTGAAGTCTCAAAGGATTTCACGATCTCGTGAGTACAATGATGAAGCCGTTTCACAGCCAAGACTCTCCTAATGTGTAATGAACGTAAATAAAACACTCCGCTGTCGTTGTGCGCCGCTTGATGTTTCCCGAGTCACGTCTTCATCTTGTTAATGAAGCAGTTAATGAGATTTTCAAGGTACATGAGGTGTTTTGTTTCACTGTAAAATACTGCACTGAAAAACAAACACAAACTTCACACTTATGTTTATTTAATAGTTTTCTTTACAGTTGAGGAAAAAGTTTTCAACATTTAAAAAATATTTTGAATGTGAATGAAATAAATAGCAAAAAGAAAAACAAAAGTAAAGACAAAATAAAGCAGAGCCGCTCCGCTGGGGTTTGGTGCAACTTCGTTGCACAAAGTAATGAAAAGGAGGGAGTGGGAGTGAGACCTCCATGGCTGAGGAGTCCTGGTTGTAGTGGAGATCTTCAAACAAACACACACACACACACACACACACACACACACACACACACACACACACTAAGTGGGATACAAAAACACAAAGAGGGAGGCTGCAGATTCACTGGGGAAGATCCCAACATAAACTCAGAGCCAACTGCAACACTTCAACTGAAATATGTGTCGTGATGTTTAATGTTCTTTTAATCAAAATTCAGAAAACGAAGATGTGACATTCTTACGGTTCTTGGAAGGAGTTGGATTCTGGGAAAGCAAGTGAAGAAAACTCCACCACTACACTGACTGTTTATGGCAAAATATCCTTGTTTACCTGAATGAGATAATCAATGGTCACAGTTTCACCTACAGGCCCACCTCGATAGCACTGCCTTCTTTTGGTAAACGTTTTTCCAAATCTTCAGGTTCAAAGATCAGAAGTGTCCTGGGCAGTGAACGCACAAACATGTCTTAAAACGACCTGACATCCCAGCAGTAAGGCTGAGTGTTAAAGCTAGTTTCAGCTGGTGTTTTAAAACAAGCAGAAACTCTCAACTTACCAGAGGAAATCACAGGTTAGGTCACATGACCCAAACACATGTTTAAAACGACAAATATTCAAGTAAAGTGTTGCATTAGTCTGACCTGGAGCGAAATGCCAATGCTGCAACAACTAGTTAAACACTGTAAACAAATAAATGTGTATTTATTACAAGAAAACAAAAAAAACAACAACTAATCCTTCAGCAAAACACCGACTATTTGTAGACATGAGAAACAGCATCAAGTGACACAGGATGAAGCAGAGGTATATGTGTGCTTAACTTAGGTTCAACAAGCTGCTGTAAGGAACTCACTTACATCCAACAGACTTAATCATTTTGTTTTGAAGCAATAAAGTGATACTTTTTGTGATTTTTAAGTGTGTTTCTGAGCAGTCTCTAATTAGTTTATGTATACAATGACTGATGGGCTAACTGCTAGTGGAAGTTAAGCATTATTCTGTTGTCTTAAAATAACTTAAATCACCTGATTATGTTAAAAAGAAGAAAAATACCTTTACAGCTCAGTTTTTGCAATATGAGATCATCTACATGAACTACTACTCTACTGTAAATATCACCATCGACTAAAGGTACCATCCTGGTGTTCCCAGGTTTCAATTCCAGGATACATATTTTATTTATTTGTGCCAAAATAACCATGTAATGAAACACGGACAGAGGTATGAAGGCCGGGCCTTAAAAATGTCACCAACTGCATTAAACCAAGATAAAAGTTACAAGCCTCCAATAACTGACCAAAAAGGTCAGCTGGTACCTGAGTATAGGTGTTCTCATCGTGAATATTTCATTCCTGATGGCATGGGGATATTCCAAGATGACAATGCCAGGATGCATCAGGCTCAAGAGGAGCATGAGACCTACATTTCATCCATGGATCAGTCACTACAGAGTCCAGACCTTAGCATTAATTTTTGAGAAGTGCAGAAGACGGCTTTGCACAGCAGTCGAAGTTTCCCTTCAATACAAGATCTTGGCGAAGAAGAAGAAATCATGCCAGAGCGGGCGCATCGTGTGTGTGACTTTTTCTTTGGTGGTGACTTTTTTTTGGCAAGGCAGTGTGTGGTAACATTTTATTCGTGGCTGTTCTCTGAATCAGTCCAATTAGGACAACAGAGGCCCCTCAATAAGTAGGATCAATAAGTAGGATTCAAACAATTTCTAATTTTTTCACAGCATCACTTGGAGTAGTTACTGCATGTTTCTGTCAAATCTCAACATTACAACTTTTTAAGTTAGATTTGGTCTAAAGTCCTAACCTTGATTCCACATAACAAAGGAGATATATCGTCTTTTTCATACAAGGCCTAAACATGATGGTTTGTGTTTGGTGGTTTGACAATATAAAGAGAAACATACAGCTTAAAAACATGAACACTTTCTTAAAAATCCAAATAATTTGCATTTTATTGTAATTAGATCTTTAACATTTATCTAAGACTCTTCTAGCCACCATTGTTGTGTTTTGTGCGATGGTGACTGCAGACAAAATAATGGAACAGAGATGAAGAAGCTCCACATTCAACTTAAGCACAGTCAGAAATAAGAATGGAACACCAACTGAAAATATTTTCTCTGTACAAACTGCATTTACTCATAAAGGGATGGGAGATATTTGACTGAGAGCACCAGTAAAAATTAAAATTTTCAGTAACAAACAATAGCAAACAAAATCATACTGTACAACGTTACACACACAAAAATACATCAACAGGCTTTTGTAGCTGTTCAATAAAGGTCATAATATTAACTCTTATACACAAATATACACTTGTGTACTGTAGATACAAGGTGAAGGCAGCAATAACAGCGAGGATTGTTTTCTTCACGCCTTATATATGAAATAAATATCTTCCAGAGAAATGCCCAAGCACCCCCCCCCCCAACCCCCACCCCTGATTTATAGGTTTGGATTTGAAGCAGTGTCTGGAAATGTTTTCCATGTGTTCATAATGACCCTCTAGGTGGAGCACCATTGTTTTGTCCCTTTTTAATTCTAATCAGCACCATGCCACTGAAGGGCCTATCTGGGTGGGCTGGAGCCGGCTAATCAACGGTGGCGTTTGAAATCCAGCATTTCATTCTAAAGGCCTTACGGTTTTAAACTTAAGGAAAACTCGGTGCACATGTCTGACGTTTCTTGGCAACATGCCATGTGCATTCACAGTGATACACCCATAGACAGGCAGTGATACGTGTTGAAGGAAAGTTAGTACTATCGTACCGGCTTCCAGGGTCGGCGGTGCCAGGATGCAGAGCCAGGACAGGGTTGCAGGTTGCACCGCTCCACGTCAGGCGGCTTATCCAGAATGTCACAGTTGTAGTCGTTGAGTCTTTGTCCGTCCGGCCTTTGACAGACCACCAAGCGGGTTCTCCTACCACTGCCACACGTCTGGGTGCACTGAGGGAAACAGTGTTCCACAATTACACAACCAGCTACATACCAATGTTCACATTAAAAGAAAAACTATGTTTTTCATCCGCTTCATAAACGTTGAGCACAGATTTGCTTTAACAAGGCCCTTTTCCAATATTGAAACATCAGGGTAATTTTACCAGACCTTCGCAGCGTGCTTCAGTGTACCGCACCGTTTCAGGAAACACTTTAGTACCTAGGGGTATGTACTCGGAAAGGACTGCTAGAGTAGCACGGTTGACTCATGCGGAATGGTTGCAACTCAGTAGGAAACAATTTCAGCAGATGTCGCTAAACACTAGGGATGTGAATCTTAGAGCAACTCATGATTTGATTCGATTCCGATTCTTGGAGTGCCGATTCAATTCAGAATCGATTCTCGATTCTCAATTTAAATCGATTCACAATCAGTATTAACAAAGAGTGTCAGCTCCAGGATGAACTACTTTGTTGTACAAGTTAGTTAAAGCTATGGGACATTTTTATTTGACCTTAAACTGGTCATGCTCCAAAAATGCAAATTTACAATGTAAACTAAAGTGATTCTAAAACTGTAAACAGAAGCAATCTTTTGACCAAAAGGCAACATTTATTTTTGCTTACCTTGTAAAATATAACAAATATGTAGTTTCCTAATAGTAGCTTTGAAAGTAATACAGTCAAATACTTTTCAAGTATGTGTAGAAACAAGTTACATGAGTAATCCTGAGTACTCATTTATCAACTTAGAAAATAAATATGAGAATATCTCAAATTTCTGAGTATGGAAAAAATGACATTCAAGTGCCCTCTTATCAGCAGATTCAAACATAAATCATTTCAATTTATGGGACCACAAAAGTAAACGGAGTACTGACTCTCCTAACAAAGATCAAAAAGTGCATCTCAAACCTGTAACATGCCAAACATTTGAGTTCCTGGAATCAATTCTGAACCTTTGTGAATCGATTCTGAATCTTTATAAATAAGAATCTCGATTCAGACTTGAATCGATTTTTTTCAGCACCTCTACTAAACAATCAGCATTTCTTTGACAGGAGGAGTTACGGTAGAAGCAGAAAGGGGCGGTATTCACACTGCTTTTAAGTCGCAGTTTCTAAACTCCCAACACCAAAAAATGCGATGTCAATTTGTGGTCTCACAGAGCATCGGAAAAATGACGCCTTTTCTGATCATTGAACAGTGCTTTTTGCTTTACAAAGCCACTCACATCGCTGCTCATATTGCTTAAAATACTGTGTGATTTGACAAAACATAACTTTTAAAGCTGTTGTAACAAATTTGGAAAACAAAATGAGCATAAACCTTTTTTCATGGCTCTTAACAATGTTCTAATTTAGACTAGCTGTAAATATATTGTGGAGATAAAAACAAAATAATGAAGTGGTTCTCTTGCATTTGTCTAAAACCTACACCAATAACACTTTTCGAACAAAAACCAACTAATAGGCCATCTGGTTGTCTGTCTCGCTGAACTGCAGCACTTCCCTGGGTCCTCCGTTCATTCAACACACTCGTATTTAGCAACAGAACACCACAGGTGTGAGAAGTTCACCCCTCAATAATATCAGATATAGACATATATATATATACATATATATATATGTATATATATATATATATATATATATATATATATATATATATATATATATGTGTGTGTGTGTGTGTGTGTGTGTGTGTATATACTTTAGGACAGTCCCAAAAAGAAAAACACCATTTGAAATAAAGACATTGGGATTTAGAAAACGGCAACTGGTGTTTAGCACTAATTTGTTTCGTCCAGCATCGCGGGTTTTCGGTTCTGTCAGAAGCGTCTCATGGAAGACACCCGAGGGGAGGGGTGAGTGTGTTTGCGGCTGGCTTGTTCTGTAGATTTGTTGTGGCAGCTTTAATGTTACTTCTGTGGATGCCTTTCAGTGACGTGACTCAATGTCTAAGCAGTGGTGATAAACTGATGTCTTATCAAAAGTCTCAAAAGAACTGATTTTATAATGAAGACCCAACGGCTGCGAGGACCGAGCCATCGTACCTCCCAGTCAGTTTATCCCTGCCAGAAACTTCTCGGAACTGCCCTGGGAACACAACTAGACTTTACTCTGTTAGAAAACGCCCCGATGATAGAAGACTGGACCCAAACGACACTGAGTGTTTGAGTTCAAACAACAATAATCCTTTATTCAGGAGGAGTTGTGGCTTGTATCTAAGCTTTGCATACAAAACCCTGGAAGCCAAAATCAAAGCTCAAACTTATGAGCAAAACCTAGAGAGCACAAGCGGAGTAACGCTGACAGGACACAGAACATGACAGAAAAAGCTGGAAAGTTGGACCTGGGATCAATATGTTGTAAACAAATTATTGTTAAATCCCAAACTTCATCTCTATTTAACAATAAAGAAGTAAAAGAAAATATGACATAATTTTTATCAAAACAAACATTTTTAGAAATAAACAAATGACACTGGTGTTTATGTGGATCAGCCAGCGAGTCTAGCCTGCAATGAGCAAAACCCCAAACATTTAAATCCTCCAAATATATACAAATGTACATTTGTCTAATTAAATGTTTAACATTGACATTAGCAGTAGACACAAATATCTGATGTGATTTAATATTATTGTGAAATGTAGACATTTAGACAGTCCCTAAAACCTAGTCAGCTGGTTTGTGTTGACGTCGGTTTGCCTTCAGTGAAAAAAGATCAACACAACATGTGCTCCACGGAGACACAGAGGGTTAACGGACATGACTTATTGATCTGAGGGAACAGATTTCCCATGTCTTTTTTAGTTTTTGTTAGAACAGAGTCTAGTTTTGTGTAATAAATGATGAAAGATCTCACCTCCCCCCAGGCACTGTAGTTCCACAGAGGACAGGGTCCAGAGTCACAGCTCTTGGACTCTGCAGGTTTGACCCTCTCGTCGCAGTAGCTGTTGCTGCGTCCATCAGCATCCTGACAGACCACCACTCTCCTCTGAAAGCCCCCAGCACAGGTGCTAGAACACTGGAGAACAAGCAGAGCAATCTTTGTTTCAATTCATTTCAGTAGCATTATAAAAAGAAACTCAAACAAAAGCTATTTTCTCTCTGTTTTACCCCTTCGTGCTAAATTAGAGAGATCTTTACATGACCAGACCCAGCTGCTATGCTCATTATTTTCTCCCAAAGATGGAAAAGTCAGTGAATCACCCTGAAAACTGAACAAAACAGCCTTGACAAAGGAAGCTGGTTGACTCTGCACCCATTTACATTGATGCATCCCCTCTGTTGGAGGGAGAAAGAACATTCAGTCCTATCTACTGCATTTGTGAGGGAGGACAGCACAAAAAGAACCTGAACAGGAAGGATTTTCCACTTGAGTTGTGACTTAACAGCGTAGAAATACCACATTCATCAACTGTAGAAAAATGAGTCAAAACTCACAAATTCTTTTCTGTGAAACTTAAAAATAAATGGTGTCACTCAAAATATTGGTAAATGGAAAATGGCCTGTTTGTGACGTGCTTTCTAGAGTCCAAGAACCCCCCGAGGCATTTTACAACACAATCAGTCATTCATCCATGCACACACACATTCATTCTCTGGTGGTGAAGAGCTACAGTGTAGCCACAGCTGCACTAGGCCGCCTTGACACAGGCGAAGCTGCTGAGCACAGGTGCCACCGGCCCCTCTGACAACCACCAGCAGGCAAGGTGGGTTAAGTGTCTTGCCCAAGGACACGACAGCAGCATAGACGGGAGTCAGGATCGATCCTGCAACCCTCTGATTACTAACCCACTCTACCTCCTGAGCTACTGCTGCCCCAGCATCACCACAGAAAATACATTCATATAAACTACATTTGACCTGAAATATTATTCTCAAAAACAACGCATGGACTATTTCACTAAGTAGTATTTATATATTTAGGCTTTCCACACAAATAGCTGAGATTGTACTACTTTGATACCTCCCTATTACAATTACAAAACTGTAAGAAATGTGCAATTTTCCTGTTAGAATGAAACTAAATCAGGACAAATTTTGATCACAATGTAATTTGTGAGCACATCAGACTCCACAATTCTCGGTCCTGAAGTGTCCTGCATGCACAGGAGATGTGATGTCATTCACAGCATGTGGCGTTTACGGAGGCAATGCTGCTAAAAATCTGCCTATACATGTTGAAGTCCTTATATTGTAACAGGTCTAAACTTTATATTTTCATTAAAAAAGGAAGATATTTGGAAAAAAAAGGGTGCTATTACTGTTCTAACTGGGCTCTCCCAGCTGATCATCCGTCTTAAAAACAGCACCTCTTGCTGGAAACTGGAAGTGACGTTGCTGAAGAAAAAGGTTCCTGACTCTGCTCAGAAAATAAATGGATTAGCGGCAGCAGCACGAAGCTCCTGTTAAATACTGGAGGTGCACAGCCATACAGGTTTGAGCCAGCAGCAAAAGTTGATGGAAACAGGCCAAACTGGGATAATTACCATATTTTCCGGACTATACGCCGCTACTTTTTTCCCACACTTTGAACCGTGCGGCTTATAATGAGGTGCGGCTTTACTGAATATTTTCCTTCACCTGCAGGGGGCGCTTCAGCAGAAAGTGAAACAGGTGGAAGTCAAAAGTGGAAATTGAAGAAAGTGCTCATTTTAATTTAGCACATGCAAGCAGCCGGCACGACGAAGAATTTTTTTTCAAATCCATACCCCCTCATCATGGTGACTACACGTATGAGTTCATATGATGCCGCATTTAAGTTGAAGGCCATCGATCTGGCAGTAAAGGAGGGAAACAGTGCTGCCGCACGTGAGCTTGGCATGAATGAATCCAAGGTTCGGCGCTGGAGACGGCAGCGGGAAGAACTCATTCAAGCCAGCTTCACCCGGGGATGATGACAGCAACACGGACAGCGGCACTGACATCGCCACAGAAAAGCTATGTGACGAAGCTCTCCTGAGGCTGTTCAACTCCGACACTGAAGAAGACTTTAATGGCTTTAGTGTGCAAGAGGAAGATGAGAGCGAATGACTGCTTCTGGTAGGCAAGTGTTTTATTTACTAACCAGGCATGTTTTGTGTGCAGTTTTTATTTTCTAATCATCCAGGGCTTATTAATGCTGTGTCAGCGCTGTTCTTTTCTTCTAAACAAGCAAATTACCGGTAATAACGTGTCAGTTCTGTTTTTATTTTATAACCATCCAGAAATATGAATGCTATCAGTGCTGTTTTCTTTTCTAAACTTGCAGGCACGTTCACCCGTGTTTAAAATTCGTTTTGTTGAATTAAAACAACAACGAGAAACCTCTGAGTAGCGTCTTTCTGTCAAATTATCTTATGTTATGGCCATACATGCGCTGTGCGCCGGAGACCTGCATGTGGCTGCTGCGCCGCGGCTTGTATTAGAGTGTGGCGTGTGTGTAGAAAACCTTTTTTTTGTTGGTGCGGCTTATATTGAGGTGCGCTCTATAGTCTGGAAATTATGGTACTTTAAATGGTGAAAGAAGAGCTGCTGAAGAGTGGAAACTTCAAAACGTACATCGACTTGGAAACACTAACTGGTAAGAGCATTTTTTAATTTATATATATTTCGACAGAAACTTTTCCCGACATATTACATCTAACATATTTCCATAAAAATAATTTTTGCTCTCTAATTTTTGAGTTTCTAATGTAATTAAATAATAATCGCAGCAATTTTTCGACTCAGACTACACCGCTATGTTGGCTTCCTGTTTACTAAATGCGATATATGATCACTATGCTTCTCACATGCATTTTCTTTTGTGGAAATTGATTAACATGATGTTCAGACAACAGGAGTATGTACAACCCTAACACACACAAGTATTAACCATCGTTAAACTAGTTGAATCTGATACTTCAGCAACAAAAAATAACTGGAGTTGAGCACGTTTTTTAGGGAAACCTGCCCACTTCCCTTGATTTAGTATTTTTAAACACCTGCTAGTTATCTGAAAACCTGGAAGGATAACCAAGGTAACTTTTTTGACCTGGAGGAGAGGGTTAGGGTTTCAGATGGCAGGATTCAGAGGCGTATTACCAGATATTTGGACTAATAGGGTAAAAAGACTAAATCAGGCTGAGGTCACATTGGAAAACATTAGCTTTGTATCTGATTTTGCAGCACATGTGAAAGTAACCCTGGTCAGGTTTGAAAAACCAAAAAAATCATACATGTGACTTTTACTGCAGTGAAGTCCAATGTAGCCAACGTCTTCTTCATCTCTCAGAAAGTTTGCTATTCGCCATCATTTTATTCAAAATCCAGCCTCACATGTCCTGACCTAACTGACACATGGGACCTAAACTGAGAAGGGTTTGGCGATTTAGTTTTGATGTGATCTGGGGACAATTTGATACTTGATTCACAGCCCAATGAGATACCAGCTAAGCTAGCAGCTGTGGTATGGCGCTCATTGTCATTATTCTCCTGCAATGCCCTGGTCCTAGAAGGATCCCAGGCATTTTTACTGATTGCCTCTGTATTCCTGTAAATCACAGAAAAAGAGCATGTTCGGGTCAAGCCTTCCAGAGGCAGCGTGATGCGTGAAGACATCGTGCGCGTTCACGCTCAGGCAGCTAGCCCATTGAGTTTGCTATCTGTAGCTTAGCGGCAGAGCGAAAGGTGGTTTTGCTAGAATGGATTCAGCCAAGAACAAGAAGAGAGCTGCTTCAAGCACCGGCAAAACTTCAGCCCAGACCACAAACAAGACAAACAAACCAAGAGTGTATTCCAATGGGCAAAACTTAAGACCGATCGCCGCCGACGAAAAAGAACGAGAATAAACATCGGCCCGGCATTAAAGGAGTGGAAAATTTTGAGTGTCTCTCGGGATGACAAAAGACATACCATACATACAGTTGACATCACTGTTGCTTGAAAGGTAAGAAATTCTTACTGAATACGAGACGGTGTGGGGGTGGGGTGTGTGTGTGTGTAGTATTAATTTTGCATACTAAATGTACTAATATTAGTTTTTTCCTCCATCAAACGTGATTTATAATTTATCTGTATTATTTGGCTTCTTCACTCTATTCACTTTGCTATGTATTTGGTCACCTATCACAACCTGGAAAATATGCAGCCTAAATTGATTTGGTCTAAATATATTTTATGACATGTATTACCTCTGTCGAAGTCATGCCGGCAAACCTGTAAATTGCACCGGCATGGGACTGTTTTCGTTCAGGAGTGTGCATGTACAGCATGCATGCATCATGCAGGACCCTACTATTGAAGCTGCAGTCATGCATTTGGCCTCAGGAGGCAATAGCGAACATAAAAATTCAAACTTTGCATAGTCCCTTTAAGACGGGACGTAGAAGTGTGGAACTTGTTTATTCCACTTATTCTAAATTAGACTTTAATGCGACATGTTGATGTTACACCCAAATGTAATGTCTGTGTGATGTTCCTAGTTTCACCTAACAGATCCCACTTGATCATTTTAGGTAAACTAGTTTGTTTCAAACTGCAGCCTGAATTATGACCAGAGACATGACAGCTTAAAATCTGCAGCCACCGTTTAGAACCGCTCAGATTTAATCTAAAGAATTAAGGCTGTATTTTGTGGTACCAGCACGGTACTGAGTGATAGAACATTGAGCTGATCATACAGTAAGCTGAACACGCACTGGTTTGTTACCATGTATGGCCTTCTGCCCTGGGAAAAGAAAACATCTCCCACATCAACCTCTGAGTTAATGTGTTCACAAGAATGTGTTTATGCACACAGACATGCAGGCCTTCCTAACAAAACATTATACATGTATACCATCTAGAGAAGGGCCTGCAACACAATTAAAATACACATTTCTGAATGGATATTTATGTACATGTGTATTTTGTCCTTCTCAAGTATAAATATTACAAATATGCTGGTTTTTCCTAAAATATGTGATGTATGCTGAACATACCGAGCCCCAGGGTCCGGTCCTCCACTGGTTGTCTGCCGAGGGGACATTCCAGCTACTGTGTCCTGGATGACGGCCGGGGTCATGAGGATATCCGTATGGCTGCTCATAAATGTGCTGACGGGTATAAACAGAGGGGCAGGGCGCTGCGGTGCACTCCTGTTCTGCTACGGGCTTTTCATCCGGGTCGCAAAACGACTGGTCCACAGGGTGGCGGTGGTTGGAACAGACTGCTTGTCTGGTAGCTCTTCCTGCTCCGCATGTCACTGAACACTGAGGCAGAACAGAGAAGATGTGGAATGGTACAGTGGACTTTCACACTCATAAATATAGTCAGACATTGTTTTAATGCAGATCTGAGCAGAAAAAATGTAAAGATTCAAAGACTTAAGGCAACACTGAAGAGTTTTTAACACTTTAAGCTGTAGCTGTCAAACTGGTTTCAGTGGTTCTTGAGTCTTAAGCTTGAGCTACTTCTCATTGGTCAGCACTTTGTAGCCCTCTGCTGACCAACAACTGCACTTAATAGTTTTGTGGGTGGGGTAGGAACAATGGTGGGAGGTCTCTACCTGCTTTACATCAATATCTGTTTACTGCGCCGGTGGCTAATAGCAATTAGCAATTTCATTTTGCCGACTGTCAATAACAAGCAGAATAAGAAGAAGAATGATGCTTTTTTTTTACTGGCGTCATGGCAGAGCCTGTAAGTAAAAGTGAGTAATGGAGCTAAAACCAGAGTGAACATCGCTGTGGCCTACACTCAGTTGAAGGAGCTGATGGAGGCTACAAAATCACAGACTGATGCTGACCTGGCTTTGTTGCCACTAGACTTGTAAGTAATATTATTTTTGTGCAGCAGTGTGGATCATTTTACTTTATCAGTTGTTTCTTATTAGCGTTAGCTCATTGTTAGCGCGAGCTATAGATTTCGTGGAGCTTTAGGCGTAGCGCTGAGCCTTTGCAGGGGAAACACAGTGTATAGCTTGAGAGGTGATTTTAACTGTTGCAAACTCTTTCCTCAAAACAAAATGTGATGAAAAAAATTAAATTAAGCAATACACTGCTTTCATAGTCTTCATGTCTAACAACGGCCTGACGATTCATTTGTGCTCAGCAAATGTTAGAGTGAACTTCTGGCTGGCATTGCTTGACCTGTTTTATATGAAAATGTCTCCTTTGTTTCTTTTTCTTTTCCTCATAAGATTTTTGTAGGATACTTTCCAGATTCTAAAGTTCGGCCAAAGTTGGCTGAGTGTTTCTTCTATTAATTGTTCCCATGATTTGCCTCATAATACTAAACCTCATAAATTTAAAACTGAAAACAACAGGGGGGAAAAAAACAACGTAACGTGGCTAATTAAAACTGAATAAACTCAGAAATCTTTCCACAGAGGAGTTCATTTGGGATTTCTGAAGGCTTAACTTCACAGGATTAGAAAAATCACAGAATCAAAACAAATCAACACTGGTCCAATTTTGGATAAGAAACAGAGAATCAGACAGAACAACAGTGCTGTGGTTCTAGCGATTTTTAACCATGAGCCACCATGTTGAAAAATGTCTGGAAGTTTAACTCACAGCAGACCACTCTGTAGCATGCCACTGGCCACAGGGGCTGAAGCAGGTGGAGAACTCTGGAGGGCGGGGCAGGTGGGCACAGGACGACTCATCAGCAACTCCTCCCTGAGCATCTCTACAGCTGACATAACGCGCCCGCTTCCCGTTACCACAGGACACCGAACACTAGTGGACAAGCAGAAGAAAAAGGTCCCATGTGGACCTTAATCAGCCACTTTGGCAGCTTCACATTCAAATATTATAATGCAGGAAGCACAATTAGTGGTCATCACTGAGAGGAAAACATCAGCAGAGTATCTCATGCACCTGTGGATGTATCTGAATGAAAATCTAAGAGTGTGACTACCAGATGCTCTTCTACAAATTATTCACTTTTTGGAATCAACAAAACTCTGGATGGCCGCCACAGACAACAAAAATTAGCAAACATATAGCTAAAAGTCATGAAGTTTTACAGCTAGTGGGCTAAGAATGGATGTGGTACGAGCTAACAGTCATTCACAACTCAGAAAACGAATAGATCGCTTAAGAGCTTGTACTTTGTTTTGTTTGTTTATATATATATATTTTTTTTTCTCCAATTAATTGTGTTATTTTATTTACATCTTAGTGTTTTTACATGATCAAGTTTTCTTTTACTATCTTTATGATCACGTTTTATCAGTTACTTTCTACCCATATTAGCTTTTGTTATTTTACATGTTATATATTTTAATCCTTTAGTGTTTCCTCTGCAGAGCCCTCTGCTTTGGGGCCGGTGGTCGGCGGCGGTGGCGGCCGGGGCGCTCCTCGGGTAGTGCCCGGGCAGTGGTGGGGGTTTCCGCCCTCCCTCCCTGGGCGTCATGGGCCGGTGTCTTGGCTGCTGCCGTGGATCTGTTGCTGTCAGGGCAGATGGCTCTGCTGATGATGTGTCGTCCATTACCTGACCCATCTGAACTCAGCCTATTGTTTCCTCTGTTGTTTACGTGTGTGTGTGTGTGTGTGTGTGTGTGTGTGTGTGTGTGTGTGTGTGTGTGCATGGACGAGTGTGCAGGTGATTGTATGTCCACTTTGGAAGTTGGTTGCGGGAGGGGAACCGTAATTGCCAATTGTTTTATACTTGGGGAGGGGGGCTGGGATGGGAATATGGGATCTATGGGGCCATTTTTATCTGTGAAGCAATTTGAGTTGCATTTTTTTTGTATGAAAAGTGCTGAATAAATAAAGTTGATTTGATTTACTTTTGTACTTTACTTCCTACACTTTTTAATGTCAGTCTTTCCCGTCTTTCTCATTTGACATCTTCAAGTGTCTCTTGTCGTTCAGCTGTAAGTGGACTGGAGTCTTGACCTGAAGAGGCTCTCCTGTGTTGTGCCATGCGCTTGTGCAGTTGTTTAGTTTCCCACATGTAGGCTTGACTCTCCCATGTTCCAGTCAGAATTGACAAAGCTCCTTGGATGAGAAGCAAAACATCTTCAAGAAACCAAAGAAGTCCAGTTGCCTTCATTTGAACCCTTTTGGATTTGCAGCTGATAAATGCTGCTGAAGCTTGCTTAAGTTCTTTGGGCATTTAGTGAGAAGGCACCCTAGACACCTCCCAGGGAAAGTCAGGGTCGATCCTGGATGCGTTGGGGGGAGTATATCTCAATGTTGGCCAGGGAACTCCTGGGAATCCGGGGGAGCTGGTAGAAGTTGCGGGGAAGGGGAGGTCTTGGCCCCTCAACAGGAGCGGGTGATGAATGTACACAGTATGTGGCTCTGAACTTTAAATTTCCTAGGAAGTTATGTGTAGAAGAGAAAATCCAACTCTTCCAATAACTTGAGTGCCTAATCATCTTCTCTCAATGAACTATTATTGGGATATGATAATATTTTTTCACTTCCTTCCTGTGTTTCTGCTACTGCACGGCACTTGCTTTTGCTATGCTTTCAGAGGGATGGAATGCAATCTATAGGGATTCAGCTCAAATGAGCTTCTTAACATCCCTCTGGTACTGATGACATTTCAGGGAGGGTAGCGGTTCCACTGCCTGAGGAGGTATGCATGTGTGTGTGAGTGTGTGTAGGCAAGACCACACCAATGCTGGCCTGTTTGACATGTGAACTCACACCAGCTCTTCGGCTGACAGACGGGGTTCCGCTGTAGAAACCGTAGACTTGTGTTTAGATGGAATCTGGTTTTCGTTTGCTCCGAGTAACAATGCAAACTATCAGAGAGACCGAGGGGCCTCTCAGCAGAGACGATGAAGACTACGTGTGTCTGCATATAGGGCTGTGTGAGTCTGTGTGTGCACGTGTGTTTGCAAAGACAACGTGGAAAATGTGCAGCAGATTTGTGGATTTCCAAACGTTAGAATTGATTTAAACTTTTTACATGCAGGAACACTGACTCATTGGTTTGCTGTGGTTTATTTCTATTGCTATACTATTCTGACTGCATTTTGCTGCAGTCCCCCCCCCCCAAGCAAAACACACAAAACAATAATAAGCAGACTGATTTGTTCTTAATCTTACAAAAAGACACAAATCTTTATATTTGAAAATGGAAAAAGGTCCCAGTGACACTAACAAACACGATCGGTTCTCTTACTGCTGTCCAGGAGCCGTATCTCCACTGAGTCACCAGTTGAATGGAGTTGTCGGGTCGAAGTGTAACCTGAGAGGGAGAGGCCCATGGGCACGCTGACATCTCGCAGTCCTACAACACATTACAAGATGTAAATAAGTTCAAAAACAAAAAAAGGTTGTAACAAAATGTTTAGTGTTTTTGCCACATGAATACGTTTCTATAAATAGTGCTTTGATAGGGCTATACCAGCACTTCAGCCTCTCAGCAACATTTTTACCGCGCTATGTGAGTACCAGTAGTTTTCTCACTCATTTATTAGTCGAAATCTCAGAGCTTTCTAAAAAAGATATCTGTCAGTCTTAACTCTAGCCATCCACAGGCATGGGATGAGATGCAAAATGTCTTCAAGGAACCAAAGACGTCCAGATGCCTTCACTTGAACCCTTTTGGATTACCAAGGCCTGGATGACTGAGAACCTTCACTAGCATGTTACAGTGGCTTCTGCTGAGAGAAGCTTCTCTAACCGAGACTCTTCACTGGCACAAGAACATTTGAGTGGCCTGCCTACCATAAGCTAAGCTCAGCTAAGCTTAACTCAGAAGTAGCAGAAAATAATCTCATTGATGACTTTGCATCCAGAAAAAGGAGATGTGTACATCTGCAAACTGCTTCTCCCATTCTTCAAAGTGGCTGTTCATTTGATCTGTTCCACTTAGTTGAAAACCTCAATGGCATTTTATGACAAAGTCATTTTATTTTTCTAAGTGAAGTACTATTTTGTCCCACTTCAAGCACTGTCTATATAAAATCTGGAGAGAAGAACATTTTTACAAAAAATACATTTTAGTGTATTTCTGGTTAAATAACTAATTAGCTCATTTGTTTGGAGAGGCTGTCCATCTTTAACCTGGCTCCAATCTGAAAAGCTCACAGATCTGACAAAACCACTCTAACATAGTGACCTCTACATTAAATACACAAGCAACAATCTGCCTTCTTTATTTACAGCTCATCATATTGTCCTCTGAGTACTTTTGGCTCGGTTTTGGGGACCAAGGGAAATTCTTGTGTAATTTCTGGAGGAGACCATGTGAGAGTGGTTGAGTCAGGATGAGACTGATATGGAGGAAACCTGAAAACCCAGTTTTTAAGGCAAATTAACATCCACTAACTTTAGGCCAGGGCCATAGAGCCTGTACAATTTACAGATATGTAGATAATTTGATTTTCATGATTATGTTTTACACTTTGACTTGTCAGATCACAGAATTTTTTCTTGGTCTACTCTGCCTATATTATCTAAGCTCTGGTCTGGAGAAGGTGCCAGGCTTTCTGGATTTTAGCCAAGAAACAAGTTTATGTACTTGTTTTATGACCTTTTTTTAGATTAAAAGTCATGTGGAACAAAATCAAACCCACGTTATTTCTCAGAGTTTCAGTATTTCATATTTTGCTTTTGTACTGGCGACTTTTTGAAACTGTTTACAAATGAATATATTTCTTTTTTTGTCTATTAATAGTTGACACATCCTCCCAATGTATCTTTCATAAAAGGAAGCAAAAGATTGTAAAACTTTCTAAAAGTTCGTAGCTCATTGCAACAACGTACTGAAGCAATTTATTGATTGAAATCTATGTGCAAAATGACTCAAGTGGGCAATAAAATAATAAAAATAACTGTTAAAACTATTTTGATTGATGACTTAATCTTTTTTTTTTGATGACTTAATCTTACAAGACAGTGAAGTCACAAATATGTATTATTCAGTGTGAGCAAGAGATCTCTGCTGAGTGACGTTAGCTCTTAATGTTGTTCGCTTTTCGCACTTGTAGCTACAAGAGCGGTATTTAGAACATGCACCTCCAGGGTGAGAGAGCGTGCGGCTGCCAGCGTTGGTACGGTTTTCACCACCTCCCCAGAGATGAGGAACCCAGAAGGATGTGGCTGAAAAATCTTAACTTGAAAATCACCACAAACTTTATTTGTGCACCTGCATCCTACTTTGCTGTTGGATATGACAAACCTCCGGAGAAGCGACACAGAGTAGTAGAGAGATCTGACAGCAGTCCCACAAGAACAACAACAGGTAGGATTTCAAGTTTTCAAGGTACAGTTATTTTTTTTATTTAAATAGCAGCATTTCTATTTCTGAATAGTTATAATTTAAAGTGCGTTGAAACTGCCGTTTTTAACCTAAAAGTGCCATCCTGCTGTTTGTATTTCACCTGATGTAGAAACTAAAACCCAAATCTTGGTGATGATGGATTGAAAGCTTTGACTCGGCTCTACATCTGCTTTTAAATAAATAAGATTGTGTCCCATATCTTCCAACAAAACAGGACCATCCTCATTACTGTGTTGGTACTGATCAGCCTCTGAGTTTTTAAGACTGCCTCGCAGTTGGATGCCACTGAGTTCAGAAAGTAGCTAAAATGCTACTGTACATTAGCTTTGGCCAGACTTTAAGATCGTCCTCCCACCTCTCTGCTTCACTAGGCAGAAGGAGTGTAACGGTGTCCCGTTTGAGCCGTGACAGCTGGTGTTCATGCATGTTTATCAGTCTCTAAAATCCCATAAAAAGAGGATTTGCACAAAGGAATCACATCGTCTCAATGTAAACAAACGCGGGACCGGAAGTCGCTTGCATCTTTTGCGCAAAGCATGATGGGCCGTAAGAATAAGTTGGATAAGATACAACAGTATCAAATTCCTCACACACATTTGATCAAAATGTAATTTTATTAAGGCCTGATTATGTGTCGTTATGATATCAGATAAGGAACGAGGCATTAAAAATGACAGTAAATAGACCCTTTTACTGTTTGTAAACAATATGACGTCAGCGAGAATGCGCGCGCAGCTTGGCAACAGAGAATGGCGTTGTGTCAGGCTTTATCAAGCTACGCTGCGGGGTTATCACCGGCAAATCTTGAATGTTATATTATTAAACTCACTTTAACGAATGGCAAAAGACTCCCGGATCCCTGTGGCATTACGGAATGGGTGGAATATGAAGGTGCGTGGCCAGATATCCAGTGGCCCGATATATACACGTTTTTAGTGGAGAGGCCCAGTAAGTACACACGTGAGAAGCTACGGGCATACAAATCGTTAGATGCATACAACTATGTTGTCTGTGGCCACGTACAGAAAGTAAAATATCACGACATAGACTCTGAGTTTTGCGTCCTGAAGGCAGAAGTCCTTCCTAGCCAAAGACAAGGACACAAGACTGCTATGTACGAGGCTTGGGTCATAGTAAACAAACCAGAGAACTACGTCTTCACAGCCAACTGTACCTGCATGGCAGGGTGAGTATAGCATAGGTTTCTTTTTTTAGCGTGCTCAGAGTACAACCGTGTTAATTTTAGAGAAATACAGTTTATACTAATATGCAGTGGGAAAATACAGATGAATTAGAATGAAATGTTAATTTGAAGCATGAAATAAAGCGTATACATTTGTTTAATTCTGTCATTTTGATGTTCCAGACTTGGGTCATGCTGCAGCCACGCAGCAGCAATTTTATTCAAAGTTGAGCTTTGTGTTAGGATGGGAAAAACAGAAAAGGCTGCAGTTACATCTCAGGCGTGTGCATGGAAAGACCTGAGCAGGAAAAATGTAGAACTTCGGAATTCTGTAAAGTTTCAGTCCACTGCTTGAAGAGGAGCGATTCTGGCATCCATACACGCAACAACCCGACATTTTTATGTGCTCACAACTTCAAAACAAAGGGTTTAAAACGCTGTTTTAGTATCGAGTGTGAATGAGGAAGCCTTCACTCTCGTTGCCAGGCTGCGCGCGCAACTTTTGATGACGTAGGTAGTAAAAGGGTCTATACTTATAGATCTTTATTGTTACCTGACTATCTCTGGGTCTCGCTGCAGCATTGCACTCTCGATCATCAACTGTGTTGCCATAGTCCCCGAGCACACACCTGACAGCTCTCAACTGGTAGCCATGGCCGCAGGTCACCGCACACTGAAAGTCAAAATGTCATATTTGGACACATGCATGCATGCACACACAGCCTGAACCACAGTCTAAACTCCACCCTTTACCTGACTCTGACTTCATGCACAAGGCCATCAGATCATGATTATGCTCACCACGAGAGCAGAGGAAGTGCCACGATCGGTTTATTTGGGCAGCAAATACAATCACACGAGGAAGGAGTAGTCGATATCCACCAGCTCTGAACATATCTCTGTTTTCACTTCTCACAAACACACACGAAAGAATTCCCCCCAAATGTAAACTATACCATGAATGGCCGTGGACACTCCTTCATACACGTTTCATTAATTTAGTGCTTGAGCATAACAGCAATGAATAAGATGAGGAAAAGCTGGGAAATTCAGGAATTGAGTGCAGAGAAGGAATGTGTGTATGTATGCGTGTGTGTGTGTGTGTGTGTGTGTGTGTGTGTGTGTGTGTGTGTGTGTGTGTGTGTGTGTGTGTGTGTGTGTGTGTGTGTGAGAGAGAGAGAGAGAGAGAGAGAGAGAGAGAGAGAGAGAGAGGAGAGAGAGAGAAAGAGAGAGAGAGAGAGAGAGAGTTGCATGTAGCAGCTGTGGGTCAGGTTTAGTCTAACAGGATATGAGGGTAAAGTGAAAGTACCATGGAGGAAATGGCAGCTGGAGAAACAAAGAGCACTACTACCTTGTAACGAGCCTGTGTATCAGATTGCTAACACGCATGCATGTAAAATCTGTTCTATTAATCTAACACACCACACAGTCAAAGTCCTCGACCCTTAGATGAAATCCCTTTGCTGTGTCAAACACAGCGTGTGTGCTCAGAAAGGGCACATGGAGGTTTGCTTCAAACAGAAAAAAGGCTCATTAAAGTCTGTGGAGTAAATCTAAACTGATTTCATAAGTGTGTTTATGTCTGTGTGTAGAACTCACCGCTCCCCAGACTCCAACCTGCCAGGATGCACAGCTAGGCAGCTCGCAGCTCCCCACAGCGGACGGCTTACTGGACGGGTCACACAAGTGTTCACTCAGCTTCTCCTCCCCGTCCCCTCTGCTGCAGGAAACCTGTCGGTGCCTCATGCCTTTCCCACAAGTCACCAGGCACTGATGGACGAATATGGTTTTGATATTACATTTAAAGGGGTAGATTGTCAGAATTTAAAAGACTTCAGAGTGTTCCTTTAAAGATGATCATGATTGTGTTTGCCCACAGCATGTGACCCACCTCACTCCACTCACTAAAGGTCCACGTTGGACATGGCTGCTTGTTGCAGGTCTCAGAGACCACCTTCTGGTATTCTTTGCATTCACTGTCCACCAGGCGCCGGCCCAGATTGTTCATGCAGTAGGACTCTCTGGTTCTACGTCCAAGTCCACACGTCTTAGAGCACTAAACAAAAGATGAGCAATGACTAGTAAGCATTTTATCAGTGATTGCTTCTAAAGGTTTCATTAAAACCTTTACTCATATTTTTAATACATGTGCAATAGTAGGAATGAATGCCTTGTGAGTTGATGCCTGGGGAAAAAACTCTGCTGCGCCTGTTTGAGGATGTTGAATTCAGCCAGAGGAGAAGGTAGCTTCAGATGACAGGACTTGGAGTCTTATTTCCTGTTATCTAGACATCTCGTATCTGATTGGCTAACGGCAACACAACTCTACCACTTACTCAATTTGCTCTGCAACTTTGAAGTTTTATCTTCACAAAAGACACAAGAGGAGTTTGGTGAGCATGCGCTGACGGCCGATCACCGGATACACGGCAGCGTTTGAAGCTGATGGCAGCTCGTTAACAAACATCCACAAACAATTAAGACACATTTTCGCCTAATTTATCTACTGACAACGCAAAAAATAATCTGGTAAGTATAACTCACTCAATCCGGAGGTAAGTGAAGAAAATTCAGAAAGTTTACTAAATTATATTGACGAAGTTTTCGCGTTATTCGTCATGGGTCCGAAGAAATCAGCAGCTGAGGCTGAAACACCTGCTGGGACCAAGAGGAGCCGTCCTCAGGACTCGCCTGAGGCCTCATCTCCCCATAAGGACATATTAGAATTATTAGATTCTATAGATAAACGGCTTCTGGGATTTGAGGGGCGACTTCATCTGCTTGAGGTTCTTCACCAGGAGTTTCAGAACCTCCGAACATCTCTGGAGTTCAGTCAGGAGCAGGTTGAGCGTCTCGCTGCTGAGAACGCGTCTCTGCGGGAGTCCGTTTCTTCCCTGGAAGAGGGAATGACGCGGATCACCCAGGACAACAAGACTCTGAAGGAGACGGTTTTGGACCTTCAGGCCCGCAGCATGAGGGATAATCTGGTGTTCGCAGGTCTGCCAGAGCAGACGGGAGGGGCGGAGAACTGCGAGCAAACAATCAAGAACTTTCTCCAGACAGAAATGAAGATACCCGAAGAAAAAGTTAAAAACATCACATTTCACCGGGTACATCGCCTTGGAGCTAAAAGAGGAGACAGCAGAAGACCTCGTCCCATCGTGGCTAAATTTGAACATTTTAAGCAGAAGGATCTTGTTAAAAGTCACGGAAGAGAGCTCAAAGGAAAATATTTCAGCGTGAATGATCAGTTCCCGAAGGAGATTCTGGATCGGCGCCGGGTCCTCTTTCCGCTGCGCAAAAAGTTTATCCAGGATGGGAAGAGAGCTGTCATCTCGGTGGATAAGCTTTATGAGGACAATAAACTTTTCAAGGAGCGAGGAGTGACTGACTGGCTGTATTAGCCCAACATCAGGTCAGACATTTATTATTCTTATCAGGATTCACTGGATTTGATCACAAATGACACAAGAGTTCTGCTGCATGGTGGAGTTGCTAATGCTAACAGTTAGCTTCTATTAGTAGAGACGTTCTCTGCTGATTCCTGCACTCTGAGTCAAAAACAACCTTCCCCGTTAGTCAAAATGGGTGAGTCCGTGAATGTTAAGTGACAGTGTGACTTATACGTATATGTCAGGGTTTTCAGATCCTAGAGTTTCACCGTAAAACTGAGAAGCCATGTAAAAAAAGGCTTCTCAGCTAGCCTGTTCTTTAAACTTCCGTGACCCTGCAGCTTCATTTTACAACCTTTATATTCAACCAACCTTGTTGTCCTTATTCAGAAAAACTTGTTTCTTTTTTTTACCTCTTTAAAGGGATACTGTACAACTTTTTCATATTTTTAAATCATTGTCTTGAGCCAGTATGTGCTAAAATGACCCTTTACCAGATTAATGAAATGTCCCTCAGCCCCCCCCACCGCCGCCTGTGGGAAGAATACCGCACTTGCAACTTCAGAGTTGCCGGTCCCTGTTGGACTTGGTAAAGTGGAGCTGACATGCCAGCGCTGCAGTCTGGTTCCAGCACGTTTCCTGCATGTTTTAGAACATGAACACAGCTGATTTGTTTGATCTAGTGATGTATCACTCCGACGAATGCACAGCGAGGAGATACATTATACTTTAGTTTTTATCAATGGACAATAGGGGGTTGCACAAGCAAGCCAAAAGTTCCTGGTATCCCTTTAATTACTAAGACAATGCCTGTTTTATGTTCATGAGCTGCTCGTAATCCTAATTAAAAAACATAAAAGAGGAAATAAATTCATGTGATCAATTGGTCCTTACACTATGTGATGGTGACACATCTCAACACAACTATTAGTTCACAATATTTAAAATGGACTGGTTTTTGTGGTCATCTTGAAATGGATTGACCCCAAAAGCCAATCAGTTGTAGATAAACATCCAAAGGTAAACCTTCTGCAATTAAATCTGTTTAACACCCACACAAACACACACACATACACACGTGCACGCTCGTAGCCTCCCTTTCACATTTGGGCGTGATCAATAAAGGCCCATAACGTGTTCCTTTGGTTTTGTTATTCTGTGTTATTACCTGTGACCAGCCACTGTACTGCCAGCTCTTAAGCAAACAGTCGCCATAGCACGGCTCTCTGGTTTGGGGTTTGGTTGTGTCTGCACAGGCGCTAGCCTCCATCCGTTCACTCTCTCTCTTTATCAGACTGTACTTCATACACTGGACGTCCAGGCTGCGGTGGCCGGAGCCACATTTGGCTGAACACTCGCTCTTTCCAGCAACATGCCACCTTTGAGGAAAGAAACACTTTAAAAAATCTGTAAAGTATATTTTTGATAAAATGTCCTGGTTTTCCTTCTTACCTGACTTCACAGTCAGTGTTGCAGGGCTCAGTTACAGCACTGGGGCGAGGTAAATGTTCACAGCGTTGGTCAGATACCTCCAGGTGGTCACTTTCACGAACACAAACCGCCTTGTGTCTTCGCTCACCTGGACAAAAGGTTGTCCTCGGATGAATATTTTGCTCCATTTGAATTTATTTTTTGACAGAGGTGACTCATGAAAACATCTCAATTTTTTAAGAACAATATCATTTTTTTCACAAAGGCAATTACTGGTATTTGTAACAAAACAAAGCACTAAGACAAGCTCTGGCAGCCAAACCAACATCTTACCCTGACAGATGCGACTGCACTCCAGCCAGGAGCCCGAGGGATCCCACACAAACCTCTCACTGTGTTCCTCAATAGGTATGTTGAAGGAGTAACGCACATCTGGATTGTACAGGTTTCCTACACAGAGAACCTGAGGAAACAATAATACCCACACAGAGACAACATCCGTTTAAAACTGAAGGAGTTAAACGAATGACAGATCTTCTGCTGAGATGATGACTAGAGTTTGATTGCAGAAGTTAAACATGATATTTGTCCAGCTGGAGATAAAAAAAAAGTCAGAACCTGTAGAACGAGCTCCTCCTCTATGCGGTCAGTGCAGTTGATGCGCTCAACTTTTGTGTCCGAGCCGCTGTACTCAATAACGGTTCCCTTGAAGGTGATTTCCCTTTTGAACATGGCCACCACAAAGTTCCCATTTAGGAGGAAGTTGGACTGGCTATCGGCTAAAGCTGAAATAAGAAACAGGCAAATGGGGACAACTCGTTTAGCCACAACAGGAAGATTTATGTTTAAGGGACGGTAAAATGTGTGCATAAATGTTGCTTTCACCTTAAGCTTTGAACGTTGCTGGTTATGACCGGTGTTGGGAACATTACTTTAAAAAAATAATTAGTTATACAGTAGTGACTGATTACTTTGTCAAAAAAGTTACTCAGTTACTTACTGACTTACAAGATTATAAAAGTAACTAATTACCAAGAAAAAAAACTATTTTGTTACATTTTTTTCATTAAAGAATTCAAGAAAAATGGGTTCCCGTCTTAATTAAACTCAACTAATTTACTATGAATTACCACAACACTAAAATATAAAAAAACTAATGACTGGAACAAAACAAAATGTACGTCCAAATGTTTTTTATACAACTGAATAATTGAAATAAATGGGCACTAAACAGGAGGAACTACTAACAGGAACATTACACTAATTTAGAATATTAAAAGGTCACTGTGTGCTATTTAAAAAAGACCCCAATCAACTAAAATTTAAAATTGCAAATAAAAACACATGTAAAGGTTCCTGAGCCTTTAAATGGTCTCTCAGTCTAGTTAAATTACAGAAATAAATGTAATTTTGCACAGTATTCTAATTTTTCCAGCTTCACATAAGTGTGTGTTTTTAGCAGCATTTCTGTTGCTGGTAATCTAGTAATGGTTAAATAAATAAATAAAATCCTTTAAAATGACACTAGAAGAGGCACAAGCCTGACAGAGGACTTACATTTACTAACTTGGGTCAGACCCAACCACAGAAGAGCTGAAGCTGTGTGGTAAAGACACACAGGTAGTTCTAATAACACCTGAGCTCCATGACGTCTGAGACTGATGCATCAGTGTTACAGCGGGACTAAAGACATGATCAGAAACAGGTTACAGCTGGATGATCTAGGAAGGGAGAAGATTGTGACGTCTGAGAGGTGAACAGGTGAGCGGACTTTCGGGACGTTCCGTTGTCACGCCAAGAAGGTCACGGCTGCAGATTAATTCCTGCAGCAGCGAATCTGTGGGTTTGCAGTGGACTATTCATCACAGCTCCCTCGTTCTTCACGGGCCGTTATGCGATTGGATGAAAACATCTGCCTCTTTAGCTTCCAATCAGCAGGTGACAGCTTCTACACACCACGCTGCTGAACTAATAACGCACGCATTTTCTTATCAGTAGCGGAAACTACGTTATGGTAAAAGATGACAGAATTTAATTAAATTACTCATTACTGAAAACACTATATATTTTTTGTAAAGCAATTTAAAATAACAGCTTTACTCCCATCACTGGTTATGACTGATGTGGCAGCATATTTGTGTGTCTGATTAGTTATTAGAGCTGATGTAATGAGCTAGCTCCATCAGTTAAACAAATCTGGGACTTGTATATAAAAAATCCAGCCCCTGATGCAGCTTTCTTTCTAGCTCCCTTAATGCAGCATCTGGCTGTTTAGGGTTTAGTCAGGTGACATGTTTTACAATAATTATCCCTAATTATACAATCAGGATTCCCTTTTAGAACTGATCCGTTTCAACATGGCCCCCATGTCAACAAACCATAAAAACAGTGGAGATTTGGTGCCGTTACACTCAACAGACATACCAAATACACACTCCAAGGGCCACACAGGCTGCAAAACCTTGGCCTAAAATCTTGGTGCTGACTTTTAAAGTCAAATTTGTTGACCCACTAGATGGATGTCAACCAAATTCCCAGAAGATGATCATCTGTTGTACAACTAGCAACAAGATGGCTTTCACTGCTAATCGACATCAGCAAACACATATATCCATAGGCTCAGTAGTTGAGAGTCATTAGCAACACAATACTATTTTCAATTTCTACCCGACCAGATACAGCACCATCATATCTCAAAATAATATGGTGTTAGTTTAAAACGTAAAAGGATGGCAAGAGATTGCATTCTTTTAAGAAATGGTTTAAACATTTCTTAGCATATTAAGTACTTTGTAGCATTTTGTAAAAACCCACAAACCTGGTTGGAATATTATGAGAGACAGAAATGCAGAGAAGGTATATAATAAAGCCAAGAAATACAAAGAGAAATAAAAATTGTCTGGACATAAAATGGAAACGCAGCCTTTCATGTTATGTTGTTTCAGATTGCCCACAACGTCACTACAACACCTTAGAGAAAAAAACTGGTGACAACATGAAAGGAAGATAAGTAGAAGTAAAAATGTTTCATTCCAAGCATAAAGAAAATTAGTTCTAATAGTTCTCCTGTGGTCAAGCAGGCATTTATTTGAGGGAGAGAGAAAAAAAAACATATTTGCAAAGCCATCACTCTAAAGTGGTGGTGGCACCAGTGGCGCCGCCAAGGGATGGCCAAGGGTGGCCATGGCCACCCTTAGAAAATTGCTGCCCCCCAGGCTAGACAAGCATTAATAAAGAATATTAATGTTCACTCAAACCATAAATTCATCTTGTTTATTCAAGACAAATATAAAACCCAGTAAAATGTATACAATTAATGAGTTAAAAAAGATCATCATTATGTATATATACTCTCCTAAAGGATTATTAGGAACACCATACTAATACGGTGTTTGACCCTCTTTCACCTTCAGAACTGCCTTCATTCTACGTGGCATTGATTCAACAAGGTGCTGAAAGCCTTCTTTAGAAATGTTGGCCCATATTGATAGGATGGCATCTTGCAGTTGATGGAGATTCGTGGGATGCACATCCAGGGCACGAGGCTCCCGTTCCACCACATCCCAAAGATGCTCTATCGGGTTGAGATCTGGTGACTGTGTGGATCGTTGTAGTACAATGAACTCATTGCCATGTTCAAGAAACCAGTTTGAAATGATTGGAGCTTTGTGACATGGTGCATTATCCTGCTGGAAGTAGCCATCAGAGGATGGGTACATGGTGGTCATGAAGGGATGGACATGGTCAGAAACAATGCTCAGGTAGCTCGTGGCATTTAAATGATGCCCAGTTGGCACTAAGGGGCCTAAAGTGTGCCAAGAAAACATCCCCCACACCATGACACCAGCCTGCACAGTGGTAACCAGGCATGATGGATCCATGTTCTCATTCTGTTTACGCCAAATTCTGACTCTATTGTTTGAATGTCTCAAAAGAAATCGAGACTCATCAGACCAGGCAACATTTTCCAGTCTTCAACTGTCCAATTTTTGTGAGCTGGAACAAATTTTAGCCTCTTTTCTATTTGTAATGCAGTTGAGTGGTACCCAGTGGGGTCTTCTGCTGTTGTAGCCCATCCGCCTCAAGGCTGTGCGTGTTGTGGCTTTACAAATGCTTTGCTGCATTCCTCGGTTGTAACGAGTGGTTATTTCAGTCAAAGTTGCTCTTCTATCAGCTTGAATCAGTCGGCCCATTCTCCTCTGACTTCTAGCATCAATAAGGCATGTTTGCCCACAGGACTGCTAAATTCTGACAGAGTTACCACAAGGACAATTTTGGTGGGCCACTAAAAAATTTACTTTGGCCTCATCTGGCCACTCTTATCAAAATGTCCTGGGAGTGTCCATGGGTGGCACAGGACTGAAGTGAACCTGCATGACTGACACTGCAATGCAAACAGCTCTCTGAAGAAAAAAAGTCAAAATAAGCACCAGGCACATCTCTCTATGTTAAGTGTTTCATTTAGCCTCTTGATCACACTTAGTTTACGTTATGCCCTGCATGTTGATGGATGCCAACCGACAGTGATCCAGCTGTCATGACTAAGTAGAACACTTTGCACCATAGGCGTCATTTTAACCGGGGACGCCGGGGACATGTCCCCGGCAAAATTTGTGATTGGCAGCTGTGTCCCCCCCACTTTCAAAAACGCCTGCTGATGAGGATTTTTGTTTTACCAGCTCAGATCTTATCCAGGGGTCGGCAACCTATTCCCATCAAAGAGCCATTATTACCCGTTTCCCACAGTAATTCTGGACGGACCTTAATAAGCAGTGACTTAAGTGAAGCAGGCAGGTCGCGCTAGAAAATTTCGTTTAAAAAGACGTCATAAATGTGTTCCCCCGTCCTTTTTATTTATAAAATATGAAGTAAAAACTCACAATTTAATTTTCATTCATTTGTCATTAATATTTAGTCTACACCCGTGCGTTAACCATCTTCCAGTAAACGCACAGCATCCAGCCCACCTCTCCAAATGCGTAAAATGTGCATCAGCCGCTAGTTAGGTGCACCATCAGCTGATCAGCCCAGACAAGAGCAGAGCAAATAGAGACAGAATAGAGGATGATTCTGTCTGGATGTGGATGGAGATTACATTTTACAGCAGCCTGATCATCATTTAAATACGTAAACCATCACCTGTCTTCTAGTCCATGCTATCAGCATATATTTTAATTGGTGTGTGTGTGTGTGTGTGTGTGTGTGTGTGTGTTTTCCACTTCAAACACTGGTCTAACCAACCAGACCAGCGTGTCCAGTAACATATTAATGTTACAATTAAACAGTTTCCCTTCATGTAGGCTAGGAACATTTCACCTGCCGTGGCCCGACCGCTTCTGCTCCACACGAACTTTGTGCGTGATCAAATGTCTCTACGCATCATGCGTCTCCATATTAGAGACGGGAACAAGCGCTGTTCAGCCAGTTTCATAATTTCATAAAAAGAACATTTTTCCAAGTGACACATCCCTCAGAGAGACCGGGTTTCCAGACCGCTTCAGTGGGAGGAAATCATTGCATGCACCATGGTTCTGCGCTGCGCTGCGAACCCCTCAGATCTTCAGCTCACTGTCCACCGTGGGCGCTCCGAGCCGCGCTGAACACAGTGTCCAGTATAAAGCTCTGATGTTCTGATGGGAATATTTTACCTCCGCGATGTGCGTTAACGATTAAAATGTCAGCTCATCCATGTGCATCAGTGTGCGTGGGGGTAATTCTTTCAAACCAAGCAACATCCTTGAGTTCATCTGTCAAAATAAACAGTCAAATGGAAATATATGTAACC